CAGACCCCTAAAAAACTTTAGTATGGTGAAGTACATTATGTGTGAAGAGTGTATATTCTTTCTTTCATTTTATCAAAAGTGCAGATTTCAATAAATATTAACAATTTTATAAATTAAACTGGTTTCATTCCCTAGCTGTCAATCAAGACAATCTGTCCTGATACTTCCTGATTTGGTTAGCTCAGTGGAGCTAAACTCAAGAGGCAGCAATTGCCCAGAGCACCTGCCTTGCGCAGACTTCTCATTGAGCTGCATTGGGAAGTTTGTGATTGGACAGCCACAGAAAGTCTGGGTGGGGTTAGAAGGGGAGGGCATGCAAAGGCAGCAGACAAAAGATGTGCAGCTTTTGCAATCTGGTTTTCCATATACCCCCAATTAAGAAAATATCTAATTAAATGCATGTATGTTTTTTATTAGACATTTGTTTTTTTTTTAAATCACGGTTTCTCATCAAGTTTGCATTTTTTATTAACAACTCAAAATATTACACCGTAAGTCATCTGTTAGTATTTGCTTTTTTTTTTTAGATTTAGGCCAATTTGGGAAAAGTAAAGGATGTAAACTGAAAAACTGCCCGAGAGGTGAGAGTGGGGTATATGTCAATGTTATGGTTGTTATTATTGTTAATAAACATCGACATATTCCAAAGCACTGACCAATGTATATACAAACATTAAAAAAAAGATTCAATGTGATAAACAGGCTACAGAGTACGGATATGAGCTTAGATGTGAGGAGAGAGATAAGGGGAAAAAACAAGTAGGATAATGGAAAGATCAGCTACAGAGAAGGCATTCATTATGTAAAAGAAAAAGTGAAAACAAACAAACATCACTGTCTGGGAAAAGGCCAGTGTACTGCTAAAAAAACAACCTAAAACTACTGTAATGCTATCTATAGAACAAGCAGTGCTATGGTTGGGTTGAATTATGATTACGACCTAAAAAGGAATGTATGCACATTGAAGGTACCTAACACTGCTAAACAATTAATAATCTTCTTATCTAAACATCCCACAGTTTTAATTTAATTTTCCCCAATATGTAATTTCATCTAATTAGCCCCATCCCTCTACTGTAATCCCCTACCCCCAACATAGCCCCCTATGTTCCACTAAAGCCCTATAAGCCTCTACTTAAACCCCCTAACCTGCTAATTACAGCCCCAAACCTCCCACTATATCCCCTAAACCCCTCCACTACGCCCCCCCCATCCTCCCGCTACAGCCCCAATAACCCTGCTACAGCCCACCACCAGTGTCCCTCCTGAGGTTTGGTTCTGGATCTGCCCCTGATGTCAACGAGGAAAGAATGAAGGATGAAGAGAGGGATGGCTATCCAGAACTGGTCCAAATTGTTTTAGACTCAGCCTTGAGTGAGAGAACAAGGAGATCCCATAATACTCCCATTTGTTGTTTTACAGAGTTGTTAAGGAGTATACGTGATATGGTATATCCGTGATTCGTGATATCCAGTCCTTTCATTCTTACTGTAAAGGATAAGGAGAATGGGTTCCACCACAGGTTTTGTAGGGTCTCAGAGCCTCCACATTTCTTGCAACACCTGGTGGCCTCTAACGTTGCACCAATCACTGTCATAAAGTTGGATAACCTACAACATATTAAAGACAGTTGGCATGGTTATTCGAGCTTGCTTAGAAAGAGCCAGAACATCAGCTAGTTCTGCAACCCTTCATACTTTTGCAAGATGATGAACTAAACCCCACTTTAAAGATTTTGTGAGAACGGTCTGAGGAAAAAGGAACTCGGAAAAAGCATAATCTTATGACCTGTCCTGCCGGGCCTCCAGGCCTCAAAGTGTTGAGTGGTACGACAAAAACTGAGGCTTATTTGTTAACATAATATCGGCGTTCGGTGGCAGCAGAAGGGTTTTGGATGTTAGCAGAGGCCCAATGATTTAGCTTTATCAAAGTAGACGTTCTGTAGAAGAAAGTGGTTCATAGATATAAAAGTGGGGGAGTCAACAATGGAATGTACCTGCTGGTTTCCATGGTGATTGCCCACATTCAGTATTTAAGATAACTTTTTAGAACACTTAATAAATCTCCTGTTAAATTGTTCATAAACAGTTAACAAAAGACAGAGAGACAGTACCCACACTTCTTGCACCGTAACTATGACAATAAGCTGTAGTGGTTGTGGTGCTTAGGGTATTATTTTAATGACATGTTTAAAGGACCACTCTAGGCACCCAGACCACTTCAGCTTAATGAAGTGGTCTGGGTGCCAGGTCCAGCTAGGGTTAACCCTTTTTTTTTATAAACATAACAGTTTCAGAGAAACTGCTATGTTTATAAAAGGGTTAATCCAGCCTCCAAATCCTCTAGTGGCTGTCTCATTGACAGCCGCTAGAGGCGCTTGCGTGCTTCTCACTGTGAAAATCACAGTGAGAACACGCAAGCGTCCATAGGAAAGCATTGTAAATGCTTTCCTATGAGACTGGCTGAATGCGCTCGCAGCTCTTGCCGCGCATGCACATTCAGCTGAAAGGGAGGAGAGGAGGAGGAATGGAGGCCGAGAGCACCCCGCCCGGCGCTGGAAAAAAGGTAAGTTTAACCTTTTCCTCTCCCCAGAGCCGGGCGGGAGGGTGTCCCTGAGGGTGGGGGCACCCTCAGGGCACTATAGTGCCAGGAAAATGAGTATGTTTTCCTGGCACTGTAGTGGTCCTTTAATTTTGTTTTGCTTTGAATGCATTAAATGTGTTCTCCATTTTCAAGCATTTCAGAAAAGATATACGATAATAAAAGGCACCATCACTGATAAAATCATACTTTCCATCAAACATAGACAGTTTTTTTACTTCTACTGTATTTGTCCTATTTACACGTTCATCTGATCGGTTCGCCTATGTTTTTTCTGTGAGCTCGACCGCCGTAGTGAGCTTACGTTTAAGCGATGCTGAATGTACCTATTTATAAATAGTACATTATGTGAAGATACAATTATTCAACCATAAAGATTTTAATCTCTTTTCTGAGAGAGAACTATTAACGGCAACAAAACAAACAAAAAAAATATTATTTAAAAAAAAAAAAATAGATTACTAGGAATTTGTTAGACTTAAATAAATAAAAGAATACTGTCTGTTTTATCCACACCCTTTTCTATTTTAAATGAAAATGTGGCGTGAAGAATTTGACTCTTGAGTAACCTGCCTGACAAGTGATTTTCTTGCATTTGTTATACATCTAATAATGCTTTCCTAGTGGGAGGATTTTGTGCATGCGCAGCAAATGTACCAATTTGCATCTCCTCATAGAGATGCATTACATTAATCTCTACGATAAACACTTAGCGCCTCCATGCAGAGCTTGCAGACACTGAACCAGAGTGCTGAACATGGTGCAGCAGTGACCCAGGACTCTCTAGTGGCCATCTGAGAGACTGTCACTAGAGGTGTTACCAAACAGCAATGTAAACTCTGCCTTTTCACAGAAAAGGCAGTGTTTACACTGAAACGCCTGCAGGGACAGTCTATAGACACCAGATGAACTACATCAAGCTGTAGTGGTTCTGCTGACTATAGTGTCCCTTTAAGAATTGCACTCTCGTTGAAAATTACTGGCTCCTAACATTTTTAGCTGGCTCCTATATTCCAAACAAATTTGTCAAGCCCTGGGCTAAAAGCAGTCAGCTGACACTTTCCGACAATCACAGCTGCCAAATGCTTAATCTAATACTTGCTCATTTGCCAAAACAGCACAGAGGGGACGGGATGGGCAGCTGGGGGCTCTTGTTTAGTATTAAAACATAAAAACATTAAAGCCTGTTTAATGCTGAATGAAATGATGGCCTCCATACACTATAGCCAGATTAATTAGATGCAGCAGATACAGTGCCTACAGTGTCCCTTTAATTTACTAGCATCTGACAATGTATGATGTATCCCCATTTACTATGTTCCTCATTACCTTACCTCACCTGCGGTGAGTCGTACAGTGGAGGTAGGTAAAAAAGACATCATGGTGATTCTGACCGCAGCTGATGCATCTCATAGAGTAGCATTAGGTCTTAGTAGTTTTAGGTTTATTGCTTCTCTGATGGAAAGATTTGATTTGTGGAGCACGTTAATTGCCATGTATACAGAACAAGATTAATGGATTATCTCAGAAGTAGTGGAGCGGGGGCAGGGGGATGGGACCATAATTTATATCAATAAAGAAACACATAAGCTAAATATATTTATTTTTAACCTTGGCGTGTTCCTTTAAAGCGGGCAAAGAATATTAAAAGTTGCGCTTTTATAACATGTCACCTATTTGTCATCTCTGTATAGCATTTATAAAAGTGTTTATTTTCTGAAAAGCGAGTGGCTTTGAGTTGAGAACAGGTAAAAAGAGACAGGTAAAAAATAAACAGAATTTAATAAACCGCTGCTTTAAAATGAATGTTATTATTATAGAGATCATTTTATTACTTTATCACTTTAATTGAGGATAAAATTATTTTGCCCGCCGTCTGCTCTAAAATACTGATCTCCTAGACAGTAAAACTAAATTTGATACATGAATCAGGTATGTTCCATAACTCTAATGGACACATTTACATCTTTATTAACAGTCTTTGTTTCAACACTTTCTCGTTGACGAACAAGATAATGGTAAGTAACTAATGGACACCCTGCACCTTATAAAAATGCAGAAACACCGATTGTAACGGAACTGCCCGTACTCCGACCGAGTACATTCCGTTGATGGACGCTTCCTAGCTTGCGCCGAGGACCACAAGCACCGGACACCACAACCACCGCAGACTCCACAACCGCTGTAGCTTAACTGGAGTCTCGCCGTCTTCTGTCCACCCGGGATCAGCTTCTGTCCTCCAGGACTGTGTGGGGAAGACCTCTCCTCGGGAGAGCGTATCAGGAACAAGCTCTTAGGAGTATGCAGAGCATAGCAATCCCCAGTGTGAGTATAGCTGTCCCGTCCAATCACGAGACAAGACTACGTGTTGAGGGTCAAGAAGAACTGTGTTTAATTAGCACCAAAGGGCCTTCTTTTATGGAGGTCTTAAACATACAGGACCGCCCACAGGGTTTTTCAGAACAACCAATAAAAACATTACAACACATACAATAAAGTAAACCACTCCCAGCAGAAATCCTCCCCTCTGCCTGTGATACAATTATCTCAGCACAATAGACAAACTTAATTATCACAGGCAGAAAATATACAGTTTTTACACAATTCTTATAACTTTAAAAGTATACATGCAATATTAATAAAAGTTACATATTTGAAATCAGCGTCCTTTCAATATAAATATATTCAAAAATCATAAAAATCCATCCAGTAGATCAAAAGTTAGCTGGAAGTCCTTTATGACTGACCGCAAGCACATTTTCATGCCCAAAACAGTTCCATGGATTTGGGCAGTGCGGTCGGTCTATTTTACACTGAAAAAATGACTAAGTCCCATTCGAACGAGCGTTCGAATCTTCGAGCGGGACTTAGTCTTGAGCCGCAGTGTTGAAGTGGAAAAGAAGGTATGGGTCAGCGGAGTTCGTGCAATTGGGTAGCCGAAAACAGTTCCATAGATTTAGCTGCACACACCGCTGACCGCATTCGAATTAGTTAAAATGGCTGCCGCCACGTGTTCGTTTGTCGAATGGCGGCCACTTCGACTACTTCGTCTGTATCCGAAGTGCCACTTTAAAGTTGCAACACTGCTCCAAAGTAATTAAAGGGCCAGAATTAGCATTATAAAAATCCATTATGCCTAAATCAGTTCCTAAAGGGCAATACATCCCAGGGGCCATAGTCACATGGCAGGAAGCTGGCACTCAGTCCTCTCCAATGCCCAGTGGCAAATGGCAGTTTGTCACACCGATATTAGAAAGAAAAAAAAATAAAACAATCAGTGCACCATAGAGAGAATAGGAAACAAAAATATACTTTCTTCAAAAACAATTTGCTACAGCTCCACCTACTGTCCAGTTTGCTAAACACATCTGCAATGTATGATGAATGATTTTGCATCACCCAACAGCCAATCAGATGCATTTTTGCACATTATATGCCTGCCCTGTTATCAAAAATGCAACCAGGGACCTTACACCCCATGGTAGAAGGTTAAAATATTCCAAGTCATTTTGCGTTAATGTAAATATTTCTATTTAATGTGCAAAGGTAAATCTACTAAGCATTACGTCTCCTTTTGCTTCCACTCCATCTAGATGTCTGAAAATAGCTCTTTCTCCTAATTTGTTGACATGTGCCTTCTCCCTCTGCACTCATTAAGTTATTGTCTGTTTGATGGGAACAGACAACAACCAGGGTTTTTCCAATGCGTGTGAATTACAGAGCGTGACGTGACTTTTAATACAAAAGGCCACTTCGGTTACTTCTTTCGAAATTTGTCCACTTTGAGTTTGATCTTCCATGTAGATGAAAGACATTACAACAAACGTAACATTAAATTCATCCTTCTAAAAGGTTTTCAATTAGAAAAAAAGTACCTTATGGCCTCTCTCAAGTACCAGTGAGATTCTATTGTAGAATCTCAAGAGTTCTTGGGATCTTGCTACGAAGAGCCCTCAAGAGGCCAACAAATTGCCAAAAGTGGTCCAAATACTTGGAAGTGGTGACTAATGAGTACACCTGTGGTCTCCTTCATGTTTCTTTTGAAAGTTAGGATACCCTATGGTTACATTCCTCGGAATTATGTTTCCCTGAGTCAAGTTTGTTGGGTGTGAGCCACAGCAACCAACTAAAAGCAAAGCAAACTCACTTGAGTCTAGCCGATAACAACAGATACAGTGTATGAATCCAATGACAAGGGCTCCAAAATGCTAGCCTTCCTTGGGAAAGGGTATCTTTGCACTTAATCTCAGCAAAAGTAGCACATAAACACTGAGAAGGTTAGCCAACACTGATACGGGCTATCGTTATGTTCTATGTTGACACTAGATTCATATGTTGCACTAATTTAGGCTGTGCAGCGCATGTTGTATCAACAAACGCTCCTTATTTCGTTACAACAAAAAGTACAAACTACTCTGTTTTCTTTTTAATGGTCCTAAAAACTGCAGGAAATTGTAGTAACAATGCCGGCCAAAATAAAGCCCACTCACTGCTCAAATACAGCTATGCTTAATCCTACCAAAAGACGTAAATTTTTGGGGTGTAGGCCCACAGTATACAAGTGCTTGAAACATTTGACAGTCTCTCGTATACCTTTGTATGACAGAACCTGTGTTGCTCCACTCATGAATTAAGCTACTCATAATTACATTCAATTACCATATGCAATATGTTATTTTTATGAATGAAACTGGTTCTCAGAGTTTCTGGGAAATATTCAAATAGTAACTGATGGAGCACCAGGAGTGTCTTGAAAGGTTCAGCTACTTCCTGCTATGAGCAAGCTGACAAGCTGTGTCATAAGAAATTCAAAGGTGGTTAACCTTCCAACTTTTCTTTCAATATATCATTTAAAATGGTTTGTCAACATTTGAAAAGTCTGGGTGGTTACTGTAAAACAAATTTTTTTTTCAAAAAAGGATATTTCATCCTTAAAAAAAATGTTCTTAGGTAAAAATAATAATCGTAATCCTCTGGTTAGTAAAAAAAAAAAAAAAGGCCTACAATTGAATTCAGCACAGTCATGGCTGGGCAATTTATCATCCTACCAGCCGGCAATACATTGGCCTGTACTTGGCACATCGCAGCTTCGTTTGAAAGCATTTGGATGTCTCATGCATTGTGAATGCACACAAATATATTTGTTTATTATAAATCTGTCTTCATCTGGAAAAGCAAAACATAAGCTGACATTTAAAGATCGGGAGAACATGGTGTCACTGTGGATTCTAAACACCCCCACACAAGGAAGTCATTAGTATCAAACCATAAATTATCGCTGGCTGCTAATCACTTGTTATCAGGTAGGAGAGCACGACAGACAAACTCCATTTTCTGTTGTCCTCAATCACTGCTGGGTGCATAATGTCCCCATTAGAATTTGTGTCCTCTCATTCCTTAAATGAAAATTGTGAATTGAGTGGAGAAATGATTCCGTGAAAGGATTTTTGGCCCATTCATTCTGTCTGTGCCACTACTTATGAATGGGAGATTGGTGAGTTCGTTCTGCAATAAGTCAATAAACACAGCTTGTTGGACACACAGTTGTCAATATTCCATTCATTCATTTCTGGACAAAGAGTGAAATCAGATGCAAAGTTAAAAGAATTGACATTTTTACAAATCCAACATTTTAGCACAGTATACAGAATAAATCTAGGTAGTGGTTTATGAACTAATATATTAAACCAGGAACAGGGAAATGCCGCAGAGGTTTGGAGGATGCCGGGGAACCTACCACGTGTACAAGGGGTACTTACTTAGTAATTCCATTGGATGACTTCACTATGGCGTTTTAGCGGACGCTGGATGTCCCCATGCAGGACGCGAAGATGTCCAGCGTCACTTAGGTAACCAAAAAGTTGCCTGAGCACCAGGAAGTCCCTCTAGTGGCTGTATACCAGAGGTGGAGTTAATCCTGCACAGTAATTATTGCAGTTTCTCGATAACAGCAATTATTACAATTGTAGGGTTAAACTGACAGAGACACTGCACCCAGACCATTCCGGTGAACTGAAGTGGTCTGGATGCCTATAGTGTCCCTTTAAATATTGTCAACAATGGAAGTAGGACCTGAGGTGACTTTAGATAGGGAATATTATCAAGATATTTGGGATGCTGCGAATGGTCTGTCCATCTGCATCCTGCACCAGGAACAAATTCACAAAATCGTGAAGTGCTGGCACACCAACCCAGTCAAGTTCTTCCATATGTGAAAATCAAACGCAAACCTATGCTGGAGGCATCCAGTGATAAAGGCACATACTTCCATATGTGGTGGTCTTGTAGCATCATTCTGGAGCATTATCCAGAATCTTCTTTCCCTAGTATTTCACAGGCATTTTCAGTTGGATCTATGGTTCTTTTTATTATCTAAACCGATGGATGGGTTCACTACACACCTGCAGAAACTATATAATAAGATCATGCTGGCAGTACGTAAGGCTGTGGACTTAAGTTGGTTACAGACAGAATTTCCCTCAATGCAGTAAGTTATCATTAAAATTAACGATGAACACCTAATAGACTCACTACCTAGGTACGAGAAGATATGGTCCCCATGGGGCGATTATACTACCGGAGAGGTAGTCATTTTAATAGCCATAGCGATAACAGGAAGACAGGTTGCATGGCGCAGAGAGATGTTGTTGTTATTATTATTATTGCCATTTATATAGCGCCAACAGATTCTGTAGCGCTTTACAATATTTTGAGAGGGGGGATGTAACAATAAATAGGACAATTACAAGAAAACTTACAGGAATAATAGGTTGAAGAGGACCCTGCTCAAACAAGCTTACAGACTATAGGAGGTGGGGTATTAGAAACATTAGGACAAGAAATATCAAGTAGGAGTGAAGCAGAGCTGGAGGAGAGAGCAAAGCACTGTCCCATAGGAGAGAGCAGGAGACAGGTATGTAAGGTAGAGATTACTCTGGGAGGCCATAAGCTTTCCTGAAGAGATGGGTTTTAAGGCCCTTCTTAAATGATTGAAGACTAGGGGAGAGTCTGATGGCAGTAGGCAGGCTATTCCATAGGAGAGGAGCCGCCCGCGGGAGGTCCTGCAAACGCGAGTTGGCCGTACGGGTGTGAGCAGCAGTCAGGAGGTGGTCACGGGCAGAGCGGAGGGTACGAGGAGGGGCATATCTATAGATTAGTGAAGAGATATAAGTGGGGCTAGAATTGTTCAGTGCTTTAAATGTATGGGTTAGCATTTTGAATTGACTCCTATAGCATACAGGAAGCCAGTGTAAGGACTCCCCCCCCGAGATTCTCCACTGCCATTCTCCCAGTGCCAGCCCTGCAATGTGCCTGCGGACCGGGGAGATCAGAGATGCACCCTGGAGCGCGGGCTACAGTTCACCTCACCACCACTGGGACCACCAGAGAATCCCCACCGGACCACCAGGGATACAGAAATGTCCCCCCTCCTCCCAGTAAAGATAAGAAGGGAGGGGGGACATAATGAATATTTATTTTATTAAATAAAAAAATGTAAAAGTCTGCCTACCCTCCTTCCCCACATACACACACTGCCCCCATACACACTACACACACTGCCCCCCATGCACATACTACACACACACACTGCTCCCCATACACACACTACACACACTGCCCCACAAACACTGCCCTCCATGCACACACTACCCCACAAGCACTGCCCCCATACACACACTTCACCGCTCACACACACACTGCACCTTTCACACACACTTCATGCCCTAACATATAGCACTGCTCCTATGCCCTATATCCCAGCAGACCCCAGGTAAGTTGTCAAACTGTTCTTAAACGTTTTGACTACTTACTCTGGGATGGGATCCTGGCACTACGGGCGCCATAACTACTACACTGAGCTGTAGTGGTTATTGTGCCTGGATTATTTATTTAAATAATCTACAAGTGCCCCTCCCGAGATCAGGATCTGGATCCGCTACTGGATAGAAGACTGTGGAACCAGATTTGGGCTGAAAAGCTATGCTTCATTTGGTCACAAAGGACTTTGATCTAACTTTTGACCCACTGGACCAATTTGTATGATTTTGACGTATGTTTGTATTTGGAGTATGCTGAATCTGAAAATGTGAATGTGATGCATACTGTTAAAGTTATGAATATTGTGTAAAACTGTGTATTTTCTTGCCTGTGATAATTACATTAACCCATTGTGTAAGGTAATTGTATCACAGGCAGAAGGGAGGATTTTCTGTGGGAGTGTCTGAGTGTATTGTATGTGTTTATTGGTTGTTTTACAAAACCCTGTGGGTGGTACTAATGTGTAAGAATGTGTATATAAGAACAATAAACCCACAGCTCTGGCAGTTCTACTTCACCCTCAATTTGGAGTGCCGTCTCTTATTGGGGGAATCTGCTACAAGGGATTGCTATGCTAGTCATACTCTCTTGCTATATCACTACTAAGCTCTTGTAAGAGCTTATTCCTGTTCTGCTACGGTGGTTTTGGTGTCTGCTGGAGTGCTTGGAGCCCTCAGGAAGTGCTAGGAGCATCCTTTAACGGAGGTACCCAGTCGGGGTGCCAGGTGATCCGTTACAGGGTTTTTCAGAGTTTCATATTGTTTACAAAAAAGTTGGTGTGGGGCTACGCTAGAGCATCTTGGGTCTGCCCCATATTGAAACAGTTTCTCCCAAAATGATGGTATTGTACCTTGAACCACGTATCAATGTACTTTGTTTTCTGCACTGGTTTCTAAATAAAGAATTTAAATAAATAATTCCCCATTATTTATCTAAGACAGGAGATTTTCTTGACTGTAAGTTTTAAAGATAGTTTGGAGAGCAGTGTGCTGGTTTCTCTATATTATATAGGTATAATCAAAGAGGTATTGATTAGTGAGCCAGCAAGGTGACAGATGCACACACAGGTAAGAAGACAACAGCTGACTTGGCTTATCAGACAATCCAAGCAAATAAACGGTCATAGAGAATGTAATTATTTATTGTAATGACAATGATAATCTCATTCAATGACCAGAGGTGAAGGGAGGCATTGTTAATGAATGGCCTGGAGGATTTACAGAAGTGACAGGAATGGCCATTTTTGAATCCTCTATTGTTTGCGTGATAGCTTGTTGGGTCTGCACAAAGCTTAACGGTCGTCAAAAAGTGAACAAGGTTAATAAATACATAGTGTGAGCTAGAGAAAAAGGGTGGTCCAATGGGACTTTTATGTACAAAAAACAAACAAAAAGGGAAAGGTGCTTGGAATGGGAGATGCTGCTTCTAGATTTGCGTCAGGGGGAGGAATTTTTGGTAGTAACTTTTGGTCACGTCAATCATGAGTTCCTGAGTGCACTCTGGAAGCTCTCCGGAGAAAAGTCCTGAATGGGGAAATAAACAAGATAATGTCTAATTATTTACAGGTCAATGCTTGCTTTAAAATGTCATCCTAGGATATCAACTGGTAAAGGGAAAAAAAGGGCGCTCTGTATGGCCACAAATAATGGCAGTATCTAACTAGATGAAGAGGCTGCATGGCTGGGGATCTACCAATCCTAAAATAATTCTTACCGCTGTCTAATTTACAAGGGTCATTTCAACAGAAAGGATGATTGGCTCCTACATTTATGTCTGGCTAATACATTCTACCAAATTCAGAAGCTTATAAGCAAGTCAAGATTACTATAGCAATGAGAATTTGGGCACTGGCTAGATAATATATCTACATTTCTAATGCTAGCACAGAACTTACCAGGACATCCTGCGAATACAGTGAATGGTGGGACCACAGTTTCGGGAGGTAAGACGGTGTTGTCCAGGATTTTGCAGCAGTCTTTTAAAACACATCTGCGGCCCTGAAATCAGAAACAATTTAGTGTAAAAGGGGGGATTTTGCCATTGACTAGCAAGAGGTTAACATGAGGCTTTAAGAAAGTTCTCATACTATAGACAGGAGTCAAAGCTGCTGAAAAGAAAGGTTGTTGGACTGCCAATCTCTTATTCTCCCATGGCTGGCTGAAGAAGAAGGGAGTTGCAATATGGCAACAGCTAACTGGCTGCAGGTCGGATACTGCAGGTGCCTTTACTAAACACATGAATTTCCTAATCTAACATGAATGCATGATACTTACAATAACACAGTTCTTTCCTATGTGGACATAGGATCCGATCTGAGCTGCATTAACCACACAGTCTTCTTCTATGAAAACATGGTCACCGATGTGTAGAGGGAAGAAAGCCACCCTGTGGGAGACAGACTAGAAGTAATAACTGCAAATAAAAATATCTTTAAATCCAGCAAATATATGCAGTCATCATTTAGGCTAAAGGAACATTCCAGAACCCTAAATCACTTGCTGTAATGTTATATGAGTGAAGAGTGTGTGCTCTTTTTCTTAATTTTTCAACAAAGTGCAGATTTCCCTAGATTGGCACTTTTATGATTAACCTTGTCACACCCCCATGACTATCAATCAGACAACACGTTCTGTTAGTTCCTGGTTTGTTTAGCTAAGTGAAGCTAGACTCAAGAGGCAGCAATTGCCCAGAGCACTTGCCTTGCAAAGACTTCTCATTGAGCTGCATTGGGAAGTTTGTGATTGGACAGTCACAGAAAGGCTGGGCCAGGTTAGAAGGGGAGGGCTGTTTTTAGATGTACTCCCAATTTGTTAGATTTGGATAGAAATACATCTTTCACATATGTTAGCTTTATCTGACAAATAAATGAAGTTAAAATTGTTTGGGGTCCCAGGTTGTATGAGATTAAGGTAAAGTCTGGTGGACCATTGCCCACTATTTATGGCATATATCTTATTATTACACGCTGAGATAACCCCGAGGTTTGACAGGGACTGCACTTACTGCAGAGGAGACCGATCAGAAATGGACCTGGCTTTTTAATCTAATGGATGCCTTTGCCTCTTCCTTCTGTAAATACTACTATTGGTATTGCTTGATATTAGCAGCTCTGCAAAGTCTGTCATTAGGAGGATGTAACGATATATCATGCACAGTTATTAATATCACGTGAGCAGTGAACACATGTACCATCTGGCCCTGTTTACTCCTCTAGTTACCTGACTTCTCTTTTCAATGGTAAATGCGTCGTCCTAGTTTGTGGACACATATTATTTGCCATCCTCAAAAATAACTATGTTCTGCCCAGATTTTAATGATAACTGTGCTTCTCTGACAAAGAAAGAACCATGAGACTATGACAGGCACATTCTGCTCTGTTACACATATAAAACTCATTTAATAGCAGCAATTTATTTAATTAGGTCTCATTGAGGAGTGTTGAAAAAACAATCTTCCTATCAAGGCAGTGATTGTAGCTGCACATTGCAGCCATAGAAGGCAGGGGAGATGTTTCAGTCTCACGTGTTTGCAGGGCAGGTGGGCAGCAGTGGGGTGTGTGGCTTTTTTCAGTCTGTTGCCCTATTTTTGCAAATGTAGTGTTACAGTTTTTTAACCTGCAGTTCAACAGCTGGTCACTAGGGGGTATATGAGTTGTGTTTGTTCAGGCAACTCCTAATAGCTGTCTTATCAAACCATATAAATTATTGTATGCACTGTGTTTGCAGCAATGCTATCAATCATACAGATGTAATGAAAAAGCTATATAAAGACAGGGGCTCTCCCCTCATTTTTTTTTTTAATTCTTTTTTTGTGAGTTCAAATATGTTTTATTGCATACAAAGTGTACACAGTAAAGGTATACAAAAAGGTGTACATTTTATACAATGGAATGTAATCGAGTAGGTTGACATTTTCCACGGTTAAAAGCTTTACATTCTGTTAAGCTGTTGACATTGAGACTCCATGTGACCCGGCTCCTGTTGCGGTCTACAAAGGTTGGTCAGGAGCCTATAACCTAATTTGTTTGGCTCCGGTTTGACCAGCTCCTGTAGTTTTTCATATTATTCACATAATGTAGCCTTGCATTTTTAGTGCAGAGAGAAAATGTATAAAGCTTAGTTGACATCTTGTACCATTGGATGAAGTCGTAACATTTTATATTTGCCAGTGTATAGTACTATTCATAATATTGAGTCGTTTACATGTAAACTGCATTTCGCTGGACTCTAGCTACAGCGGACAAGAGTAAGTGGCAGCTTCCTTGGTTTGCCTGTCTGATTGTTTGCTTCACCTTGAACTGGTTTTATGATGGGTGTAGTGTATAGGGGATTAGGAGTGGGATAGCAAGGATGGTCAGTTCCTCTACAGAGCCTCTATACTAAATATTGACTGGCAGGGGACCCAAGATTCTCCGGTCCCGTCACATTAACTACACCTCTGTAGTTGCTGTGATTAGCATTGAGAAAGGGCTGCTGCTCGAAACGTTTGCTGCTTTAACTTTGTCCTCACATTAATTGTGGTAGCACCTGGGTGTGCACACCTAAACTGGATGCGCAGGACTCTTGTTTGTTTTTTGGTTGTGATTTTGCCTCTAGTGAGTGTGTCTGGTGTTTGCTGGAGAAGAGCAGGAATGGAGTGAAAGATGTCACTCTGTTTTGATGCCAATTGACGTGACAAGGAAGGTACTACCAACTGGCATAGGAGGGGGATGGGTTCTTGACGGAGCAGAAGTAGGTGATACATTATTGTGGCATTCACTTACCCAGCATGAGTTCAACTGCGCTGGGTAAATAGTTGATTAATAGCTCAAAAAGCAATGAAATATGTAACATATCCTTAGTATAAAATAATTATTCATTGTTTTAATGGGGCACTTTTAAAGGGACACCATAGACAACCAGACCACTTCCTCTCACTGAAGTGGTCTGGGTGCAGTGCCCCTGTCTATTTAACCCTGCAATGTAAAATATTGCACTTTCAGAGAAACTACAATGTCTACATTGCGGGGGTAAATCCACCTATCGTTGCTGTCTCCCAAACAGTCACTAGAGGCGCTTCATTCTCTCTGATGGAGTTTTACTCTGTGAAACAATGTTGGATGTCCTCACGCTTTGCATGAGGATGTCTAACGTCTTCAAATTGCCCATAGGAAATCATTGAGTCAATGCTTTACTATGGCGAAGAGTTAATGCATGCGCGGTAAATCTCTTGCATTTGCATTAGGTTCCAACATTGCCATGACGTTGTGGGAGGAGGAGATCTAGCCAGGACCAAGGGACCCTTGGCACTGAAATTAAGGTAAGTTAAAATAAACAAATAAATAAATAAAAAGAGGGTTTTAACCCTTTACACATCAGACGGTTGGAGAAGGACTGAATAAGTTAGCGAAAGGGACACTACAGGTATAGCATTATATCAGGTTTATATTGGCAATACTATAGTGTTCCTTTAAGCACCATATCCCATACAGCCCACTGTAGTGCTAAAATACTGCGGGGGCTGTCCCCAGTTTTGTGTCAAAGAGGATAAGTTGACACACACAGCCAATCAATGCCATCCAAGTATGGAAGAAATTGAGGCTGGTAATGCAGAAATGGAAATACCACATTATTAATCCAGCAGGGGAGTGGAAAGGCCGGTGATACCTGCGTAGCCTCGGTATAGGTCAAACAACTCAATTACACCTTGACAAATCAGCAGGAGAATACAAAAAATATCATCATTAGTTGTTTTAACGCTCTTATGATTTAAAAAAAGATTGTCTAAAAAACATATGATATTGCTTTCTCACCCTTTGCTGAATTTTTTAAATGGAGGCCTGATTACGCTGCGGCTTTTTATGACACAGTGACGACCCACTCGAACATTTGCCAGGTCCCCTCGGATGATACAGTCATTCATAACAATTGTCTACAAGAAAAGAGAAAGATATTATTTAAAGGTTTCTCAATGAGGTTCAAAAAGCATTATGGGAGGTGCAATTCAACATATAGATGTATGACGAGACATTGTGCAGACTTAGCTCAGTATATTAATGCACAGCAGCTAAATTTTATCTGTTCGCTTTCTGGCTGCAATACAGCCAACATCAGCTATTAATTCTAACGTACAATGCAGCCAAAATTGATACTCATTGAATTAGCCAAAATGTGTCCATAGAGATAAATGTCTATACAATTTGGATGCTTATGTACGCTATAAAATCCTATAATGCTAGCTATATGCAGAATATACCGCAGTGAGCTAAACACTTTTAAATACTTTCAAAGATAAAAGTGATTGGGAATCTTATTCATGTACTTGATTGCATAAAATATGGCTTTGTTCCTAACACTCAAACGAAACTGCAGCAATCCAATGAACAAATTGAGATACCACAATAAAAGCTAAGCACTGCTTATCTCTTATGCTCCTGGATCTAGCAGCTGCCTTTGACACAATGACACTACCCTCTCCTTTTGAAAACGCTTCACCCCAGCATCCTCGGCAGTGTGCTTTTTTGGGTAAAGTCGTATCGCTCAGATCATTCCTTTACAGTCTCCTTCTCAGTCACTAACCATCACACTATCCATGTCTGTTGGGGTACTGACCCAATTTTAGAAACAACTTTAACGCAATGAAGGCACTACAAAGCTATCAACAGAGCAAGAGATAAGATATTTAGACTTCCTTTATTGCACAGTCTGTTTAATTTAAAACATTAGATCTCTTTACAGTTTTAGGAAGACTGTGTGAGTCGCATGCAGGGAGGTATAAACAAAGTGATTTTTCATTAAAGGGATACTATAGGCCAGGAATACAAATACCCCCCCTCCCCCCTGCATCACCAGTACCTAACTGTACTTCCTTCTGTCTGTGACCATACCTATGACTCACTGCAAATGTACTAAAGTGCTCTGGATAAGAAGGCTATATATGATCTGTTAAATAAAGAAATCTATATTACATTAGAGGATCTCTACTTTGTAAGATGTTTAATTTCTTTTCAGAGGCAACAAGACATGATACTTGAAATATTTTTTGGCAATAATAATTCTCAACATTCAAAAAAAAAAGAAAAAAAAAAAAGATATGTTTAACCTCAGGTAGACAAATCAGTGACATTCAGAAAGGACAGATCCACTAGAAGTGCACCATACTGAAATATATAAGGCAAAAATTGTTTAATTAGCTTGTCTTTTTCCCCAGTGTGATCATTTTGGCTGCAATAAGGGAACTCAGTTTGGAAAGGTAAGGAGAATTCCCTGTTACTGTGTTACACAACCTTTAAGTGTCTGAAACAAGTACACAGACCAAGTGGTTTGTTACTATAAACAGTGGGCCAAGCACAGTCATTTTAGATTTTGATCAAGTGTTTTTAGAGGAATTTTTTTTACAGTTTTGTAAATATGTTCTGAGAGCACATGCCATACAAAGTTACATTTAAACACAGAAGATATACAGTAGCCGTACATTTCACATCTTCTTCATTAGTTTGGGCAGGACTTGAAACACTGCTCAGCAGTACGAGGAATTTATATACGCCAAGTGTGAAACTATGTTAACAAATCACACAATTCCACATTCTGTCGTTCCCTCCTCCCCCCCAAAGAAAAAATGGCAAAGTAGCCCAACACTGTAAGTGACCTGCAGCTGTAAATATGTCAGTCGATGAAGTAGTGACTGTCCTATCAGCTGACACAAGCGAAGTTAATGAATATTATCGAAACATAGCCAGAATAATATTTGTAATGCAATATGCTGAGCGAAGGACCAGGTCATAAAAGGACCATCGGATTGCGTCAAACAGTTTGGAAATGGTTTGTCACAGAACGAGGGGAAACTGACAGGGGCTTGCTGGCACCATAGACACTTCATAATGCTGTGTGTGCTTTTCATAATCTTGGATTCTGTGCTTTGCAATATTGTGAAATACACAGCCCACAGCATGGGCCTGGACTCTAAAATGCCCACATTTGCATATGACAGGTATACTTCAATCACACAAGTTAAATATTGGAATCCTTGCACATCTTGAAGCATACAAGATTGATTTCTGTTACAATAAGAGTCTGTTAGTATCAATAAATATTCCAGCACTTACCTTTCCATTCAGGACTATGTTCTGACTGCCACACAACACAGACTGTCTGCTGACTTTATTTCCAGATGCCTGTCAATGGAAATTATTAACAGTAGTGAGTAAACAGGTATATACAGAAATAGCCATTTATATAAACAAGCTAACGCACACAGACTCTGTGACGTCCCCAAACATTCTGAGCATTACATAAATATAGGATCGTTAATTACGATCATGAGACAATTTACAGACTACTTTGTCTTATGGCAAAACCTGAGGTTGACAAAAGGCATAGTCAACAAGCCTCAGCACCCCAAGCTGGGTTATCATCTTAGGGGGTACTTGCAAAACATACAAAGAACCCCAAAGGTGTCAGAGCCACTTTAACCCCTTAAGGACCAAACTTCTGGAATAAAAGGGAATCATGACATGTCATGTGTCCTTAAAGGGTTAAAGCAACTCTGTTACTGTCTGGATGGAATCTTTGCATAATATGAAAAGACCCCTGATGATGACATTGCTGAAGGGAGTCTGGTAACCATGGGTTGAAGGGAAAGGGGAGATTTACTGATCCGTCTACTATTTTTTCAGCTGCTAGAAGAAAACGTAAGTGCTGGTATTCCAGCGCAAGTGCAGAAAGTACAGCATTATATTCTGTCATAAAGTAAACCCATGGGATACTCCATATAAAGAGGTTTCTTTCAATACAGCCATCACTTGTGACGGTTGGGGGAAATTAAAAGCTTGACACAAGGTAGCTCTATCTTTTTGTCAAATGGAGGACAAATAGTGAGTCCCTACTTATACTAAGTATATCTTTTGAGCTTTGCACAACCATTTTTTTTTTTTTTGCCAAATCTTTTAAAAGGTTTTGTAAAAGAAAATTAGAATATTTTTTTTTAAAGAATAATAATAAGCAGTGTGTGATAAGCAGTGTGACAGCAGGTCAGGTGTGGCCAGTAGGAAGGGCTGGCAAAGCATGTTGGGAGTTGTAGTTCTGTAATAACAGCTGGGAAGCACTGTGTGTGTGTAGCCCATACCATGGCTATACAGAGACCAGACAGCCCGCAAACTACAACTCCCATGAACCTTTGCCAGCCCAAAGCCATAGCCTGCAGCTGTCAGCGGTTGATGGGAGTTGTAGTCCGCCCGTGGCTGTCTATCTGGGCATGTCACGGCAGGCTGGGCATGTCACGACTCGCACTCACGGTCTCGATATATTCCGATTTATTATACAGCAGCTCACTCAGCTCCATGGCTCCACCGGGGTGACGTCACTTCCGCCCTCACAGAGAGGGGCGGGTCAGCCGGTCATGTGACCGTGTTGGGGGCGTGACAGCCGGTCATGTGACCGTGTTGGGGGCGTGGTCGGTGTTGGTTGGAGGGGAAGACAAGCTGGAGAGCCCGGGCAATCTGAGATCTGAGCAGCAATGTGTAATGTCAATACATAGTATATATAATATAATATATAATAATATACAATGTGTAATGTCAATACATAGTATATATAATATAATATATAATAATATACAGTGTGTAATGTCAATACATGGTATATATAATATAATATATAATAATATACAGTGTGTAATGTCAATACATAGTATATATAATATATAATAATATACAATGTGTAATGTCAATACATAGTATATATAATATATAATAATATACAATGTGTAATGTCAATACATAGTATATATAATATAATATATAATAATAATATACAATGTGTAATGTCAATACATAGTATATATAATATAATATATAATAATATACAATGTGTAATGTCAATACATAGTATATATAATATATAATAATAATATACAATGTGTAATGTCAATACATAGTATATATAATATAATATATAATAATATACAATGTGTAATGTCAATACATAGTATATATAATATAATATAATATAATAATAATATACAATGTGTAATGTCAATACATAGTATATATAATATAATAATAATATACATGTGTAATGTCAATACATAGTATATATAATATAATAATAATATACAATGTGTAATGTCAATACATAGTATATATAATATAATATAATAATAATATATACAATGTGTAATGTCAATACATAGTATATATAATATATAATAATATACAATGTGTAATGTCAATACATAGTATATATAATATAATAATATACAATGTGTAATGTCAATACATAGTATATATAATATAATATATAATAATATACAATGTGTAATGTCAATACATAGTATATATAATATAATAATATACAATGTGTAATGTCAATACATAGTATATATAATATAATATAATATAATAATATACAATGTGTAATGTCAATACATAGTATATATTATATAATATAATAATATACAATGTGTAATGTCAATACATAGTATATATAATATAATAATATACAGTGTGTAATGTCAATACATAGTATATATAATATAATATATAATAATATACAATGTGTAATGTCAATACATAGTATATATAATATAATATATAATAATATACAATGTGTAATGTCAATACATAGTATATATAATATAATATAATATATAATAATAATATACAATGTGTAATGTCAATACATAGTTTATATAATATATAATAATATACAATGTGTAATGTCATTACATAGTATATATAATATAATATAATATATAATAATATACAATGTGTAATGTCAATACATAGTATATATAATATAATATAATATAATAATAATATACAATGTGTAATGTCAATACATAGTATATATAATATAATATAATATATAATAATATACAATGTGTAATGTCAATACATAGTATATATAATATAATATAATATAATAATATACAATGTGTAATGTCAATACATAGTATATATAATATAATATAATATACAATGTGTAATGTCAATACATAGTACATATAATATAATAATAATATACAATGTGTAATGTCAATACATAGTATATATATAATATACAATGTGTAATGTCAATACATAGTATATATAATATAATAATATACAATGTGTAATGTCAATACATAGTATATATAATATATAATAATAATAATATACAATGTGTAATGTCAATACATAGTATATATAATATAATATATAATAATATACAATGTGTAATGTCAATACATAGTATATATAATATAATAATATACAATGTGTAATGTCAATACATAGTATATATAATATAATATATAATAATATACAATGTGTAATGTCAATACATAGTATATATAATATAATATAATATATAATAATAATATACAATGTGTAATGTCAATACATAGTTTATATAATATAATATATAATAATATACAATGTGTAATGTCATTACATAGTATATATAATATAATATAATATAATAATAATATACAATGTGTAATGTCAATACATAGTATATATAATATAATATAATATATAATGTGTAATGTCAATACATAGTACATATAATATAATAATAATATACAATGTGTAATGTCAATACATAGCATATATATAATATACAATGTGTAATGTCAATACATAGTATATATAATATAATAATAATATACAATGTGTAATGTCAATACATAGTATATATAATATATAATAATAATAATATACAATGTGTAATGTCAATACATAGTATATATAATATATAATAATAATAATATACAATGTGTAATGTCAATACATAGTATATATAATATAATATATAATAATAATATACGTGTAATGTCAATACATAGTATATATAATATAATATATAATAATAATATACAATGTGTAATGTCAATACATAGTATATATAATATAATATATAATAATATACAATGTGTAATGTCAATACATAGTATATATAATATAATATATAATAATAATATACAATGTGTAATGTCAATCCATAGTATATATAATATAATATATAATAATAATATACAATGTGTAATGTCAATACATAGTATATATAATATAATATATAATAATATACAATGTGTAATGTCAATACATAGTATATATAATATAATAATATACAATGTGTAATGTCAATACATAGTATATATAATATAATATAATATAATAATATACAATGTGTAATGTCAATACATAGTATATATTATATAATATAATAATATACAATGTGTAATGTCAATACATAGTATATATAATATAATAATATACAGTGTGTAATGTCAGTACATAGTATATATAATATAATATACAGTGTGTAATGTCAATACATAGTATATATATAATATAATATAATATAATAATAATATACAGTGTGTAATGTCAATACATAGTATATATAATATAATATAATAATAATATACAGTGTGTAATGTCAATACATAGTATATATAATAATATACAATGTGTAATGTCAATACATAGTATATATAATATAATATATAATAATATACAATGTGTAATGTCAATACATAATATATATAATATAATATAATAATAATATACAACGTGTAATGTCAATACATAGTATATATAATATAATAATATACAATGTGTAATGTCAATATATAGTATATATAATATAATATATAATAATATACAATGTGTATTGTCAATACATAGTATAGATAATATAATATAATAATATACAATGTGTAATGTCAATACATAGTATATATAATAATAATATACAATGTGTAATGTCAATACATAGTATATATAATATAATACATAATAATAATATACAATGTGTAATGTCAATACATAGTATATATAATATAATATATAATAATAATATACAATGTGTAATGTCAATACATAGTATATATAATAATAATATACCATGTGTAATGTCAATACATGGTATATATAATATATAATATACAATGTGTAATGTCAATACATGGTATATATAATATAATATATAATATACAATATACAATGTGTAATGTCAATACATAGTATATATAATATAATATATAATATACAATGTGTAATGTCAATACATAGTATACATAATAATAATATACAATGTGTAATGTCAATACATAGTATATATAATATAATATATAATAATATACAATGTGTAATGTCAATACATAGTATATATAATAGTATACAATGTGTAATGTCAATACATAGTATATATAATATACCATGTGTAATGTCAATACATGGTATATATAATATATAATATACAATGTGTAATGTCAATACATGGTATATATAATATAATATATAATATACAATGTGTAATGTCAATACATAGTATATATAATAATATACAATGTGTAATGTCAATACATAGTATATATAATATATAATAATATACAATGTGTAATGTCAATACATAGTATATATAATATATAATGTATGTGACATCAAGATTATTCCATTTGTTGTTGTTATTAAAATATTTTTATCTTTTACATAAGGATTCACAACTAGTATACTGTATATTTTATTTTGCATCTTATTGTGTTAAGTGTTGGGGAAGCACTTTTGTATTGGTTGTGATCACTACACATTTTTAATTGCACAGTTATTTGAAGCGCCAGGCGCACTTATTTATAATATATAACAGAAAATTTATGCCATACTTACCGATATTTTCTTTTCCCAGATATATGCCATGACAGCACTACGTATGGGTATAGCTCCTCCCCTTCTCATTTGGACAGGAACACCTCCTAAGTAAGAGACTCCCCCCTATAGCCCTTCAGTCTTAGTTTAAAGCCACGAAACAACACATGATTTCAGAAGAGAGTGGGATCGCAGTGCTGCCATGGCATATATCCGGGAAAAGAAAATATCGGTAAGTATGGCATAAATTTTCTGTTTTCCCCGGATATATCCATGGCAACACTACATATGGGTTATACCCAAGCTGAAAGGAGTAAGGGATGGAGAATAATAACCACAACGCATAAATCCATGCAAATACGGTTTATTGATCCATAAACTATAAGGCAGCAGAGAGGACACTTCTACCAAATTCTGTGGTAGATGAACGCACTACATCCAACTGATAGTGATTGATAAACGTGTTGGAGGACCATGTTGCTGCCAAACAAATGCGATCCGCAGAAATGTTGGCTGCAGTTGCCCAAGAAGCGACCAAGGATCCAGTAGAATGAACTCTAAGGACTTGAGGGACAGGAACTCCGGAGGCTGAGTAGGCCTGACCAATGGCTGAGATGATCCATCAGCCAATATGAGATGAAGAAGCGGCTTGACCCTTCTTGTAACCTGAAGGAATAATAAACAGTCTAGATATCTTCCTTATGTCTGAAGCACGGTTCAGGTATGTAGATAAACAGTGAACCAGATCCAAACAATGCCATTTCTCTTCTTCTTCCGATGAGGGAAAAAGGCTGGCAAAATGATGCCCTGATTCATATGGAAAGCAGAAACCACCTTGGGTCTGAAAGCTGGAATCATACGAAGGATCACTCTGTCTTTCTGAAGAATCAAAAAGGGAGACTCACAGGAGAGAGCGCTTAGCTTGGAGATTCTTCTACCTGAGGTCAAGGCAATAAAGGCAACCAACAGAACGGTTTTCAACGTAAGAGTAAGTATAGAAACACTCTCCAAGGGCTCAAACGGAGAATCAGATAAGGCCTGTAAAACCAGAGGTAAATCCCAAGGAGGGGAGCAAGACCGTACTGGAGGGCGAAGCTTGAGAATGGCTTGAAAAAAATCTAGCAATATCTGGATCAAATGCCAATTTCCGATCTAACAGAGCATAGATCGCTGAAGTATGCACTTTTAGGGAGCTGAAACTCAAACCCTTGTCAAATCTGTCCTGTAAAAAGTGAAGGATGTCACGGATACTGGGAGACAAAGGAGAAATATTACGTGCCAAACACCAGCTACAGAAGATTTCCCAAATACGATAGTAAGCTGAAGAAGTGGATTTCTTCCTGGCATTCAGAAGAGTATAAATTACTGAAGAAGAGAAGCCTTTGCTGGAGAGACGTTGCTTCTCAATTTCCAAGCCCTTAAATTGAGAGACTGAGGAGATGGGTGAGAGATCGGACCTCGTTGTAGGAGACTGAGTTGATCTGGGAATTTCAGAGAAATGTCCAGAGAGAGTTTCTGCAGCAGGGGAAACCAAGGCCGCCTGGGCCAGAAGGGAATCACTGCGAGAATTGTCGCTTGCTCCTGCAGGATCCTTCTTAGCAGGGTGAAAATCAGAGGTGTTGGGGGAAAACATACCCCAGATGGAACTTCCACTCGCAACAGAGAGCATCCTGGTGTTCCGCCAAAGGGTTGAAGTAACGCGAGAAGAACCTTCCCACCTTGCGATTCTTCGCTGTGGCCATCAGATCTACCTGAGGAAATCCCCAATTCTGGACTATGCGTTGGAATGCCAGAGGGGCTAACTCCCATTCTGTGGGATCCAGGGTTACTCGGCTTAAGAAATCCGCCACTTGATTGTTCTTTCCCGGAAGGTAAACTGCCTTGATCCCCTTCAAATAATTCTCTGACCAGGACATACGTGGGGTCAACACTTTCATTAAGCGTTTGCTCTTTGTACCCCCTGATGATTGTAAGCAACTGCAGAGGTATTGTCTATCCTTACTCTCACCCAACTTTGTTTCAGACAAGGAAAGTGCAGAAGAGCCTGGAAGACTGCTTGCAACTCTAAAACATTCGAGGATAGAGGATACTGTTTGTTTTCCCACTGCCCCTGAACATGAAGAAGGCCCAAATGAGCTCCCCAACCTGATTGGCATGCATCCGTCGTGAGAGTAACACAAGGGATATCATTCAGAGGATACCCTTGATATAGATTCTCGTTCATCAGCCACCATGCCAGTTCCTTCTTGATCTCTGATGATAAAGAGATTGCTTGATTCAGATCCTTGTTCTCAAACTGGGATAGAAACCCTTCTTGTGGAATCCTCATATGCCACTGGGCCCATCTCGTAAGGCCTATTGTAGAGGACAAACTTCCCAGAAGGCTCATAAATTCCCGGGCCGGGATGGAGTTCAGAGGCAGAAGACAAAGGATCTTTGAATACGAAGCCCCCTGTCCAAGAATAGGGAGACTTGTGACTGGATTGTGTCGTATCTTGCCTCTAAGTATATCATAACTTGAGAGGGGGAAAGCTGACTCTTCTTGAGGTTTACCAACCATCCAAATTTTTGAAGAATTAAAAGAACCCGATCTTGATGAAGAAGGAGAATATCTCTGCTGTGTGAGAGAATCAAGGTGTTGTCGAGATAATGGAATACTGAGATGCCTTCCAGATGGATATATGCTATTAAGGCAACCAGGATCTTGGGAGCTGTGCTCAGGCCAAAGGGAAGGGCTCGAAACTGAAAATGCTGATGGCGAATCGCAAATCTCAGGAACTTCTGGTGTGGTGGAGCAATAGGAACGTGAAAGTAAGCATCTCAAAGGTCTATGGAGATTAACCAGTTGCCTGGGGAGATGACTTTTATAATGGAACTTACTGATTCCATCTTGAATTTTCTCACATACAGATTTTCGTTTAATTTGTGAAGGTCCAAAATTGGTCTCCACTCCCCTGATGCTTTCGGAGTGAGAAAAAGTCTGGAATAAACCCCCAATCCTCTTACTTTTGCAGGAACAGGACATATAACTCCCTCTGCTGAAAAGGAAGAAACAAAAGAACGAATAGCCACTGCTTTTTCTGTTTCCATAGGCATGCTTGTAGACATGAACCGGCGATAAGGGTTTGTCGAGAATTCCAGGTAGTAGCCAGATTTTAGGGTCTTTAAAACCAACTTGTCCTGTATTGCTGGAGCCCAGACCTCGTAGAAGTGAAGAAGTCTTGCTCCCACTCCCAAGGGCTGGACTGGCGTCCCATCAGAATTGCTTTGAAGGCTTGCCATTGCCACCACGTCCTCGGGTGGTTTTGGAAGAGGAAAGTCCACTTTTCTAGGATTGGAATCTGGAAAACTCTCTACCAGGTCTGTATTGTCTAAAATCCTTGTCCCGAAAGGAACGTCTGTCCTGCGGAAAGGATCTTTTAGGACATCTATCTTGAGGAAGAAAGGCCTTACGTCCTTCTACTGCCTTTTTGATACATTTATCCAGATATTTGCCAAAGAGCATCTCTCCTTGAAAGGGGAGGGAACACAGGCTATTTTTTGAAGAATTATCTGCCACCCAATTACGTAGCCAAAGAGTACGTCTTGATGCTACAGTAAGGACCATGCTTCTGGAGATGGTTTTAACCAAATCTATAGAAGCTTCTGATGAAAAATCAATAGCCAGCTTAACTTTCCTTAAGGATTCCAGCAGCCTGGATCTACTGACTCCACTTGATATGTCCTCTTCGAGGTCATCCATCCACTGCTTCAAGGCTCTAGAGACAGATGTCAAGGCTACAGCAGGACGAAGCCCAGAGCCAGAGGCTAAATATGCTTTGGACAAATTTGAGTCCATACGTTTATCCATTGGATCTTTTAAAGTACCGGCATCATCCAATGGGAGGGTGGTCTTTTTGGCTAGTCGGACAATTGCTGCATCTACTTTGGGGGCGAGGTCCCAATAGTTACTGTCCGTAGCCTTAAAATGGTATAGTTTAGAAAAATGACCCTGAATAGTGATTCTTTTTTCAGCCTTCTTCCATTGCTTGCTTAATGAGGTCCTCAATGGTCTCATGCAATGGGAAAGTAGGATTGCGCCTTCTCAGGTCAGCAAAATGCTTACTAGAAGCTGGTTCGTCCACTCTCTTATCATTAAGCTCCAAGGTATCACGAACTGCCTTGATTAAAGCTTCTATTTTCACACTGTCTATAAAGACAGGAGAGGCCCCATATTCTTCATCTTGAGATGACAACTCGTCTTGCTCAAATACCGGGGGTACATATTTGTCAGAGCTTAAGTCAGCATATTGCTCTGGGCTAAAAGATCTACATCTTTTCTTAGCCCTCTCAGACTGTCGAAGACCCTCCGAAACTGCTTGATGGAAGTAAGAAAGAATATCTGGATCTGGTTCAGTATGGCCTGCCTTTGCTTTAAGACAAGCTAAGCAGAGCCTTTTCCCAGGAAGCACCTTGTCGTGACAAGCTTCACATAATGGGGTCTTATCTTTCTTTTTCTTGTATGAGGATCTGTGGGCAGAACTGAAAATCCTCCAGTCAGAAGTCTGAAATGCACTCTTTTTAAAAAAAAAAAATTTTTTTTATTAGTATTGTCTCTTTAAAATTTTTGTAGTGACTTGCTCAGAACCTCTAGATTGCGACCTATTTCTCGAAGCCTTACCGGGGGAATCCATAGTATGGGCAGATAGAAAGAAATTAGAATTTCCAGCAACCAATTATTGCCTTGAAAAAGGACTGGTGGAATAGAGAAATTATAATAAAAGGACAAGAAATGTCACTTACCTGTAGCCAGAAGACAGAAGTTTAATCCAGTTATGCAGAGATACATCAAACAGCATACTGACAGAATAGAAGTGCTTACCTTTTAAATATAGGATGCCGAACCAGGAAGTAAATACCTCTGCTGCTGGCCTTCCTCTGGTGTGCGTTTCACGTGCGTTCCACTGCTGGAGAGAGGGAAAAGATAGGCAGAAAAAACGGAAGTGCCGAAACCGGAAGTGCTAGCAATATCGGCGTGCGTTCCATGACCGAATGGATCAGCCACAAGGAAACAGGAGCCCCCCCTGGTCAGGTAAGTTCTTGATCCACTGCCACTTACAACCTGAGGATAGGGCAGGCCATCTTTATTGGGAAAGCCAAGAAGCCCACATTTTTTGCAGCAAGTAGGTTAACCCTTCTGTGGGAATTACCACCTCCCTGGGTCTGGCACAACCAGCTGCTACCTATAGGGTTACTGCAGCATAGCTACCCGGTCGCTAAGGGGGAGAATCCTCCAGGGGTTCGCCCTTGGTGAGGCACCGTGTCCTAAGGCTTCCATGGGGAGAGAGGCTGAACTCCCCATGGTCCAGGGGTACAATTAGACCTGAATAAGTCACAAAAGAAAAATTTTAGGAGATGCAACCTCCACTGTCCCTGAGAAGTGGACAGGAAAAAAAGACTGAGTATAGGGGGGAGTCTCTTTTATTTAGGAGGTGTTCCTGTCCAATTGAGAAGGGGAGGAGCTATACCCATACGTAGTGCTGCTATGGATATATCCGGGGAAATAGTGAATAATATATAATAAGCAATGGTCTAGTATGTATAATATATTAAACAATGTGTCATGTCTTATGTCAACTGTTCACATATAGCACATTATATATATATATATATATATATATATATATATCACATATATATAATGTATAATACATAAAGTTTGCTGTGATTCAATATGTATATAAGTAAATATAGTATTGTGTCATTCAGTATGTATAATATGTCTAGCATAGGTTTGACTGGAGTCAGTTGGTGTCTCGGTAAGGCATATAAAAAAAATTTGACCCTAGTCAAGACAGAAAACTCAAATCCGCTGCCTCATAATATTCTAATATAACGCCTGAGAAATGGACAGACTAAGTTATCATTTAGAAGGGAAGGTGACCAAACTGAGGGATATATTATAACAGAGGAGAACATGTGTGCTTGCTTAGTAGGGGATGTAGGGGGGTATCAGTAGGACAACCAGGAGGTGTAGAAAAGGAGAAGTCAGTTGTAAAAAAAAAGTTAGGAAACCATTTGATGTTTTAAGGATGCCAAAAGAAGCTTTGAAGAGGGATATAATGAAACCCCAAGAGCTGATCCTTAGTGGACATCTTGAAAGGTGGAAGGGAAGACGATTTGATATGTTGGTCAGGGGAGAGTTGTATTGTGGATATCAATGAAATGAAGCCATTGAGAAGCATCTGGTATCAAAGACCATATATTAGTTAAGAAAATACAAAATCTTAATATTGTTGGGTTATTATAGAGCTTTTTCAAAGAGACTCTCATAGGCTTGAGTCAAGCCACCATTTTTAATGCATTGCATAGATAACCCTTTAAAATTATATATGCACAAACCATACATTAAAAATAATAATATAAAAGATACTCACATTTATACTTCCAATATTTGCTGCAAACCTTAAGGCCTTGCAGCCTCTGCAAAGAGGTGTCATCAAGCAAGCAAGTGAGACAGACAAGCCTAATGTTCACCTAAATAGTGCTTTATAGGCTAGTAGAAGTATCGAGGAGATGTAGTTGAATATGACAACTACGTACTGTTGAAAGCTAAAAGCTGAACTACAACTCACTTAAAGACACTATTAATTACATCATTATGTGTACAAAAAGGAAAGAATCATGGCTATCAGAGACCCAAAAATCAAACGATAGCATAGCAGGATAGTCCACATTACCAATCCTTAGAGTGGCCGGGCCTCAAAGGGAGCCTTTAGTAGATAACAAGAGAATGGTGACATACACGAGCCAAGGACAAGGAGTAAAGAAAATCAGAAAAAAAACAATACAACTAGCATTAAGTCAAAGATAAACAAGCCAATACCACATTTATTTATTTTTTCAAATATCTGTTTTTTATTGTTTTTATACATCATGACAATTAAACGGTAGTGTGGATACAGAAAAAAAAAAAGGAGGTGGGGGAAATCATAATGAGAGGGGGGGGTACAGTTCACTGTGATGCATATACATTTACAGAGCGCATAGCACATATACAGAGCGCATACATTCCATAACGTTGAGGTTGTAAGATAACGTTGGGGTTATAAAATTTATGTTCATGGTCGAGTTTGTAATAACCTTCATTGGACTCTGCGTACCAACAGTGTTTTAAGCACGTTGCTATTGCCATACGCAGTCGTCAAATTATACAGCTTTTATAGCTTTGCTATTTGCGTTTCTATCAGCTTGCTCCCTGCTCAGGGGTTTTGCTCCCTGCTAGTCTGCGGCTATGTTGCATAATCTCCTCGACTTCGCTACTTTTTTAAAGACCTTGTCGTCAACTGCCAGCAAGTGTGTTACATACTGTTAGGATGTCCTGCTCAGTCGTGCCGCTACGATTGTTCCTAGAGTCATCTTATCTTATGTCTCATTCTCCTTCCCTTGAGGACCAGCATTCCCACTCCCGCTCCCTTCTGTGTTCATTACCCTGTACCCTGCCTGCCATTCGTTCGTAAGAGCAGATCGTGTCTATTCTTTGGCATATATTTTCCATTGTTGATACATTCTTAGTTTTCCAATGGGAGGCTATATTGATTTTTGCCACGGTAAGGATATTTAGTGCCACTGTTCGATTTGCGTGGTGCGCTAAATCAGGGGCTATGTGTAGAAGGTATCCTTTTGCATCTTTGGGGATTGTGCAGTGTGTTATGGTATGTATCAGTGTGCCCACTTTATCCCAGTACTCCCCAGGGCAGGGCAATCCCAGAATACATGTAGCATCGTACCTCTACTTTCCTCACATCTCCAGCAGTTCGCAGGTGCATCCGCGTAGATGCGCGACAGCCTGTGCGGTACTAAGTACCAACGCATCATTATTTTACAATATGCTTCCCACAGCGACAGGCTGCTCGATGCGCGTTTAGTGTTGCGCAGCGCCTCGTGCCATTGTGCTAAAGGAATCGAGGTTCCCAGTTCCTCCTCCCATTTGGTCATATAGGAGAGTTTCCCTGCAGTAGGGCCTTGGAGGATGGTGCCGTAGCATAGGGCTAAGGGCTAAGGGCTTCGTGCACGTGTGTGATAGTATTTGTTGCGGTTGTAGTGCCCCCTGGGGATTCGGGTCCAGCCCCCTATTTAATGCCGTGAGAAGGACGCTTTTCACTCTTAGGTATAAGAACATGTCCCTCGTGCTTAATGAGTATTTCTGTTGAAGCGTGGGGAACGGTATGATTTCTGAGCCTTCGCATAGATCTCCCACCCGGGCTATACCTTTGTCAGCCCACGTTTTCAGTGACAGGTCGGTTGATAGCGCCCCCAGCGTTTCCACTGGTGCGGATCTAAGTAATGTTGCTGTTCCCACTATGTGTTTACCCCAGGACACCCAGGACCGTATTTGGAATTCAGTGCAACGTAGCTTGGGTTTAGTTGTTGGCAGGGGATAAGAATGTGTCCACAGAGAGTGGGTCAGGTCATATGGCTGCAGGCAGGCGTTTTCTAATTCTAGCCACAATGGTTGAAAGCCGGCATTTTTTGGTTGTAATAATCGGATGCTTTGGGCTAATGTTGTAGCCCTATAATAACCCCTTATGATGGGGAGGCCCAATCCTCCTCTGTCATAGGGAAGTCCCATGCTATTTTGCGCCACTCAAGGTGGTTTCCTCTTCCAGATGTGCCCGTTTATCGTAGATTGGAACATGGTTATTAGTTTGTTTGGCAGCGCTATGGGGAGTGTGCGGAATAAGTATATGATCAAGGGCAGTACCATCATTTTGAGCGTATTGATGCGCCCCAGCCAGGACACCTCTAGGTCAGCCCATTTCTCTAATGTCCCTTTTATCTTGTGCAGCACGGGGTAGTGGTTCTCTTTCTGGATTGTTTGGAGGGATTTGGTTAATTTTATTCCTAGGTAGGTCAGGTTATCCCGTCGCCAATCAAACTGATGCTGTTTTATTAGCTCGGACACCTCCTTTTGTGGAAGATTTATGGGAAGAGCCTGGGTTTTGGTGATGTTATTTTTATAGTAAGATGTTTGACCATATCTCCCTAGGAGTGTCAGTAACTCCGGGATGGAGGTGTCTGGTTCTGTAAGAAAGAGAAGTATATCATCTGCAAAGAGCGCTAGCTTCTTTGTACCCCCTGGTGTGTTCAACCCTTTGATATGCTCATTCTGCTTAATCAGTCGTACTAATGGCTCTAGGCACAGTATGAATATGAGCGGGGATAATGGGCAGCCTTGGCGTGTGCCGTTGAGGATGTCGAAGGGGTTCGAAAGGAAGCCTGTATTGAAGACTTTAGCAAAGGGTCGGTGGTAGAGCGACAATATGCTACGGATGAACTCGGGGGGGATATTCATGGCCGCTAGGGTACTCTCCATGTAGCCCCAGTGCAGGCGGTCAAATGCCTTTTCTGCATCTAAGGCGAGGAGCAGCCCCTTTTGGGAGGACTGGTTGGCCCAATCTATGATATTTAGAAATTGTCTGGTGTTATCCCCCACCTGTCTTCCAGGTACAAATCCTGCCTGCTCCGCGGAGATTAGTGTTGACAACAGGGGCCGAAGCCTCGCCGCCACTAGTTTTGCGTACAGTTTTACATCCGCATTGAGGAGGGAGATTGGCCGTAAATTGGCGCACATCGTGGGTGTTTTGTTGGGTTTGGGTAGGGTAACAATGTATGCTCCCAACATGTCCCGTGGTATGTCGCCTGAGTTTTTTATGGAATTAAATAGCGTTGTTAGGTGGGGAGTAAGTTGTGGCGCTAGCTTTATGTAGTAGTAATTGGACAGGCCGTCTGGGCCGGGTGCTTTATGCTTAGGGAGCGTACGTATCGCCAATTCTACTTCTTCCTCAGTGAACGGTTGTTTGAGTGATTCCGCTTGGGCTGGTGACAGACGGGGGAGGGTTGCTTGCGCTATGAATTGCTCAATTTCCACCCTGGTGGGTTGATGTGTCCCCGGGTCCCTACCCAGTTGGTATAGGTTTTCGTAGTAGTGCGCGAGTTCATTTACTATGTCTTGGGGATGGTAAAGTTTCGTCCCTAGTGAGGAGGTGAGGTATGGTATTTTGGATTGTATATATTTCTGTTTTAGTTTGTTAGCTAAGCGTTTGCCCGCTTTGTTCCCTGTCATGTAGTAAGTTTGCTTAAGGTAGCGCATGTGCCTCTCAGTTATTTTTAGCTGTTCTGCTTCTAATTTTGCTCTTAGGGACGTTAGTTGTTTATGAGTACGTTTAGTTGGGTTGGCTTTGTGTTGGGTTTCAAGCGTGGAAATTTCCCGCTCCATGCCCAGCTGTGCGTTTTGATGATGTTTCTTTGTTAGGGAGCCAATTTGCACAAGGTGTCCGCGCATGACCGCTTTGTGCGCTTCCCATTGGGTCGTCAGTGGTGTCGTGCAGTGTTCATGATCTGAGAAGTAGTGGTTTAGATGGGTGACAAGGGCCTTGAGGTGCTTGGGGGTGTCCAATAATGCCTCATTTAGTTTCCATGTGCCTCTTCCTCTAGCGGGGTGGGGTGTTTTCATTGTGATTATCATGGGTGCGTGGTCTGACCAGGTGATGGGCCCAATCTGCGCTTTAAGCGCATGTGATATGGTGCGTTTGTCAAAAAGACACAGGTCTATTCTGGAATATGTCATGTGAGGTTGTGAATAGAATGTGTAATCCCTATCTGTGGGGTATAGATTGCGCCACACGTCATAATAGTCATGAGTGTGTAGTAGGCTGGAAAGGTGGGTTCCCAGGGAGATCGATCTGCTCTTTGGTGTTTTATAGTTCGTTCTACACATGTCCATGTGCGGGTCTGGTGAGCAATTAAAGTCTCCACAGATCAGTGTGTGGCCCTGCTTGTACCGATCTATTTTCCGGAAGGCCGTGGTCAGGAAGGATTTCTGAGAGTCATTCGGGGCATACAGAGATGCCACCGTTATCTGGAGGCCGTTTAGGGACCCCACTAGTATCAGTAGCCTCCCATCTTTGCCTGTGTATTGTTTGGTGAGGGAGAATGCCCAGTCTCTGTGGAAGTAAATCGATACTCCCTTGGATTTTGTGTTGGCCATGGCATGAAATTCCTGGGTATAGTGCTTTATCTGGAATTTGGGTGGAGTACGTTTGCGAAAGTGTGTCTCCTGTAAGCAGACTATTGCCGCTTGTGTTTTTAAAATTTCGCAAGCAGTCATCCTACGTTTGTGGGGGCTGTTAAGGCCTTTTACATTCAGCGAAAGTAGCTTGAGTGAGTCACCCATTGTCTGTTGTTGGGCTAACGCTAAATGAGTAGCTGCCCTGGTGTGGGTTGATGAAGTAAGTGGCATCACTAGTGAACCGATAGGTGAAGGGTTTTAGAGAAGAGTGTAAGGAGAAAAATAAGTATTTACAGTTTTTTAACACCTCCCTAGGCGTTATCCTCGACTGAGGTGTGAGCAGGTCAATTTGTCCCCTCATCACGATCAGTCTTGGGGGGGTTGTATGGTGAGGAGTGACGAGTAGACCCTCTACCTTCCCTGTTTGCCCGCCAGTGCAATCCCGCCTTTAGGAGCTATACTTATGTGGCTACCTCCTGCATGACCGCACCCTATTGTCCCGTCACCGGATAGGGGCCGCGTATACCCGTGCCTCATTTCCGTCATGGGGTCAGCGTTTGTTACTCTGGTCGTGTCGTGGTGCACGATGCTCCCCTGCGTGCCCCTTCTGTGTAACGGTCCCTGCACATGCGTAATACAAATGGGACAGCAGATGTTTTAAACCTCATCATTTGTTGCATTGTTCGAGCTCCTTAGTGATGTGAGGCTTTCCACTATAGCTCAGCTTTGTCATTGTGTGGCCCTCCATCCCCACGGCCCCCCCGCCTGCTGTTCCCTCCTGTTTGCCACTGCTTGCTCTAGTGAGATTCCCCACCCTGCCTGGGAAACCAGTTGCTTCGGTGCTGCAGTCCTAGTAGTGCTCACCTGGCACCTAATTGTCAGGTTCCGGTTGGGACATTGACAGGAGTACCATATTAAGACGGGGGGGGGGGGGCATAATGCCGAAGTGGCCATGCATCCTATGAGCCCCAATCTCAACCTATCCCTCTGTAGAGTGCGCGCTTGGTCGTGCGCTGATGGGGGCATTCGTACCCGGGGACTGCCAGTTTCCAGGGGTGCTGTCCTACATTCGCGGGTGTGGTATACGGTCTGAGCTATACCCTGTCTCTCTAGCATTCTGCCCTCCTCATATACCATCAACATTTACAGGGTATTGTGATCATAGTCTCTGGAGCCATCCAGCCCGTCCCCCCGGGCCCTATGGTACATTTAACTGGGCCTTCGCGCAAGCTCTGTGACAACATTTGAACATGAACAATATTAACCATATAAAGAAAAGGATATTCCTGTTTCACACAGTTCGTTGATCTTTTAGTCTTTCCAATTTGGCGGCTAAACAGGCCTTCATCCTCAAATACCACCAATATTTACACTGAATTATATCATAGTCTCTAGGGCTATCCAGCCCCTCTCTCTGGGCACTATGGTACTTTTAACAGGGCCTGTGCGCAAAAGCTATAACACTATTATAACACGAGCAATATTAACCATACAAGTAAAAGGATATTCCTGTGGCACCCAGCGCGTTGCTCTGGGCCTTGCCTTTGAGCGGCTAATCGGGCCGTCAGTTCTTTCGGGTTTTGCTAGGTGAGCCCACCATTTGCCAGTCCTCTTGCAGCCGTCGCTGCGGTGATCCTCTGCGTACTTCAGGCTCCTTGTAAGGGAAGAGGCCCCATTCCGCCAGTAATCTCATACCCACTTCGGGTTCTTCTGCTATGTGATTCTTCCCCCCTTTCCACACAATCACCTTCGTGGGGTATCCCCAGCGGTAGGGTATATTGTTATTCCGCAACGTTTTTGTTACTGTGATGAAGTCCCGTCGGCGGGCCATGGTGCAGACAGGTCCGCGTACAGTTGAATTGTTTCGTAGGGGTCAGGTAATTTGGGAAGTTTCCGAGCCGCGGCGAGCAGAGTCTCCTTTGCTCTATAATAATGAAAGCGTACCACCGTGTCTCTCGGCGTATCTTGAGCGAGTCTCGGTGGGCGCGGGAGACGGTGGGCCCTGTCCATGAGCCACTCTGAGTCCACAACGTTTGGCCTTGCAGATTCCCAACAAGTAGGCCATAAGCGCGTCCCGCGAGACAGATTCTGGGATCCCCCTGAATCGGACGTTTTTCCTGCGGGATCTGTCCTCCATATCAGCCAATTTCCTCTTAAATTGTTGGTGTTCCAGTGTTATCTGATGCACCGTCTCTGCTAAATCATTTTGTTCTGCGCTAAGTGCGTCGGAGCGGGCCTCAAGGCGGTTGGTACGCTCACCGATATCATTGATGTCTTTCCTCAGTTCGCTTGTGACTTTTTTGAAGTCATGCTGGAGCGATACTCTGAATTCTTGGAGCATGGTATATAATCTCTTTTCGGTTACGGGCGCATCTGTGTAGTGGCCTATATCGCCCTCCTGTTCTTCTTGTAGCTCAGCTCCTTGAGAGGCCTGCGGACCCTCCTCGCCGTCTTGCGTAGGCCGCACTTTATCTTTTTTAGCGCTGCGGACCGGGTCCGTGAGTTTTGTCTGCTTCGCCGGTGCCATCATGCACAGTGAGGTAGGTAATACGTCTGGGGGCACTTTGGCGGCGTTATGCTGCGGTTTGTCACGCTGTTGGGGTCTTTTTTCGCCGGAGCTCCTACTCCATGCGGCCGTCCACCTCGGTAGTTGGCCACGCCCCTCCAATATCACATTTAAAGGAAAAACAACAAGGAACAACATTGGGCTAAGCAGAACTAACAGGACGTCTGCGTCCTGAGGAGACCGGTTTAAATACCATAATATTTACAAAAGTTGGGGAATATTCTGCGAATAGAATTTAGTAATTCGAATAAAGCTTGACGTTTGCTTTTTAGGTAAAAAATGATTTTCTAATAAACACTACCCCTCTACTCCCGTTGGCTCAGCCAGCTCTGCATCAGGGTGAGTTTCTATTGGTAATAAACATTCCAGTGCACCAAAAAATGCGCGAAGAATGAGGAGTGAGTTGTAGAAATTTTGATGCAGGAATGACGTGAACTCCCATTTGTATAAAGTGCCAAATGGGCTCAGCGTCCAGAGTGATGCGCGGTGTGACAATTACACAGAGGGGCGGTCACTGCCTGCATGACAGTAAGAAGAATACAAAACACTGCGTGTACCTAGAATTGTCCTTTAACCACACATCAATAGAGTGATTGGAGATGGTCAGGATTGTCATTAGATGGGTTTAATCTGCCGTTATATGCCATTCCCACAACTAATTTTAGAAGAAAACCAAAGAAAAGGCACTGGCTGCTTCTTATAAACCCTGGAGCAGGGATGGCCAAAATCCCATCTGTTCTAGAACTACAACTTTTGGCTGGCATGGGAGGTGTAGTTCTGCTGCACCTGTGGCTGCACACCTCCCCCCTGGATAAGTCATTTCCAGAGAATATATCTTTAACTGTGTGTTTCCTTTTTCTCTCTTACAGTATGACACTAGCTAATAGAATTTGGCCATGGAAGATTCTGAAGATAAATGCCTCACTGTAAAAGAAAAAGTAAAGGTGAGTATTTGCATCAAACAAAAATGATGCTCTAAAACAGGGCTGTCCAACCTGCGCCCCCCAGATGTTGCTGAACTACAACTCCCATGATTCCCTGGCTATCTGTTTCATTGAAAGAATCATAGGAGTTGTAGTTCAGCAACATCTGGGGGGCCGCAGGTTGGACAGGCCTGCTCTAAAATGTATTGACTTGGAAGTAGAAATATTCCCCTGATGAGGATTCCATGGGCCTTCCTGGCTTGTAGTGGCTTGAAGCTTTTAGGTTTGGCTAGCAGTGTAGGATATTGATATTTCCTGACAGATGTATGCAAATGCAATCTTCTCATAAATACTACGATGAGGTATTTTTTTAAAGTGTATCTGTTGTCTCTCCTTATAATTCCATTTTGTGTGTACCGGTATATTGATTTTAGTCCAATTTCACATTATTGGTGCCTTTCACTAATTACTGAGTGTAGGTAATTGAAAACCTAATTTCAAGATTTGAATCCGATTTTTGAAATGATAATCACACACAGACTTGTGAATTCTAATCTTTTCTATTTTTCTAACTTTCTACAGCTAAAGGAAAAACTTGCTTTGTTGAAGAAAGAATACAAGAAAACGTTTAATCGCTTGCAGGTGAGCATAAGGTTCTGTGAAATATAAGGTTTTCTAATAACTAGTATGACGTTCTCTGATAAAATGTGTTATTGGGCGTATTCTCAATGTGAACTGGACACAAATCCATTCTGCTCCTGTTTAGAAAAAGTTGCGATCACTGAGCTTTAAAATGTACATGTGATACGGAATATTCCATATCATGACTTTTGTTAAATTTTACGTATAGGTGATGTTAACCAAATTTCTAGCAGATTAGCAAATTCAATTTATGGTTATCAGTTTTATTCTCCAAACTGTGAATCGTTTGCAATTCAAAGTAAATTTCACATTTTGTACCACAATTGCTAACCGAAAACAGCTCGCCTGGGGAATTTTTACCAATTTGGCTTTTTATTGCCCAAAAATTGAAATGCACTTAGAATCCTGCCAATTCACACATTGCTAAATAAGTCCGGATTTTCTATTGGTTGCTTGTCTATGCTGGTGCCCAGCATTAAGAACTCTAATTATATAATTGCCGCAGTAGGGATACATTATGATATATACCCAAATTCTTTTTTTTTTTTTGGATGGTGCAAAAAGTATTTGAAGATGTCGTACCCTATCCATCTTAGCTCACATCCAATCTGATATGTGCTGGACGATCTATACAATGACTAGCAGTATTTACTTTGAGTTTGCAAATTGACTATTACACTTAATTTGCCTTATTGATCTGTTCTTGTCGGCAAAGTCAGTACTTTATAAATGTATTTAATTGGATTTGCTTCTCATATGTGGGCTAGTATGGAAATGGCATTGCCTGGGGACTGAGTGCGCCTTTTGTACGGTTTGTGTTTAATGACCTAACTTATTGGCCAATTTTTTTTCTGATTGTGGACTTCAAATATCAGAGTTTACTTTATATATAATATTAAGATCATCAGCATTGACATATTTATCTATAGACAGAGAGGCAATTGCTACAACTGTTCAAACTTTAAAAGGTTCATCTTATTTCTCTTACACAGAGATCGCAAAGAGCCGAGAGAGTCAAAGCTCATGTGAAGAAGACTATAGAGGAGCAGAATCGTTTACGAAGACAAGACCGTAAAGAAACGCTTACAGCAGGTGTGTCCCGGGAGAATGTCACCATTCCTTCATTCTATGTGTGTTAGCTGAACTCATCGTGTCATAGTGACACAACATTTAACCTACACGTTGAGCAAGTTGAATTGATAGCAAATAGTTTTTACTTAAAGAGACAGTGGCGGTTGGAGTATATTTATATTTTGCATTACATAATAATTTAAATGGGAAAATACTTTTAGGGCAAAAGCCATTTTATTGAAAGCCATCATGTTCAAACTTATATTTCCCGAAGCGAACCTGCTGAAAAAATGGCAAACCAACCTCTGCTCATTTTTTTTATATATTTTTTATGCATGCGGATATGTCTGTGTTAATATGTGCCTTTCTAGAATTATTAACATTAATAGCAGATGCTGTACTAAATAAAATAATTACCATTGTGTACTTGAGGCGTGTGACACAGTACATGTTTATATAACAAGATATTATGTTTGCGCAAGGAAAATAAATACCATTAATATTAATACCGATACAGATAAGATTAATGGTGATCTATTAAGAGTCCGGTCATCATGGCCTGCTCCTTATATAGGTTATGGTGTAAGTTGGTCCACCTCTTCCTGTCTTTCTTTTCCTAGTTTCTCGTAACTACAGTAATACAGCGAGGGGAAAAAAATATTTGATCCCCTGCTGATTTTGAACGTTTGCCCACTGACAAAGAAATGATCAGTATATCATTTTAATGGTAGGTGGATTTTAACAGTGAGAGACAAAATAACAAAAGATATCTAGAAAAATGCATGTCAAAAAAGTTATAAATTGATTTGCATGTCAATGAGTGAAATAAGTATTTGATCCCCTATCAATCAGCAAGATTTCTGGCTCCAGGTGGCTTTTATACAGGTAACGGGCTGAGATTAGAAGTATTCTCTTAAAGGGAGTGCTCCTAATCTCAGTTTGTTACCTGTATAAAAGACACCTGTCCACAGAAACAATCAATCAGATTCCAAACTCTCCACCATGGCCAAGACCAAAGAGTTGTCTAAGGATGGCATGGACAAGATTGTAGACCTACACAAGGCTGGAATGGGCTACAAGACCATCGCCAAGCAGCTTGGTGAGAAGGTGACAACAGTTTGTGCGATTATTCGCAAATGGAAGAAACACAAAATAACTGTCAGTCTCCCTTGGTCTGGTGCTGCATGCAAGATCTCACCACGTGGAGTCTCAATGATTATGAGAATGGTGAGGAATCATCCCAGAACTGCACAGGAGAATCTTGTTAATGATCTCAAGGCAGCTGGGACCATAGTCACCAAGAAAACTATTGGTAACACACTACACCGTCAAGGACTGAAATCCTGCAGGACACACAAGGTCCACCTTCTCAAGAAAGCACATGTACAGGGCCTTCTGAAGTTTGCCAATGAACGTCTGAATGATTCAGAGGAGTACTGGGTGAAAGTGTTGTGGTTAGATGAGAGCAAAATCGAGCTCTTTGGCATCAACCCAACTCGCCGTGTTTGGAGGAGGGGGCATGCTGCCTATGACCCCAAGAAGACCATCCTCACCATCAAACATGGAGGTGGAAACATTATGCTTTGGGGGTGTTTTTCTGCTAAGGGGACAGGACAACTGCACCGCATCAAAGGGACGATGAGCGGGGCCATGTACTATCAAATCTTGGGTAAGAACCTCCTTCCCTCAGCCAGGGCATTAAAAATGGGTTATGGATGGGTATTCCAGCATGACAATGACCCAAAACACACAGCTAAGGCAACAAAGGAGTGGCTCAAGAAGAAGCACATTAAGGTCCTGGAGTGGCCTAGCCAGTTTCTAGACCTTAATCCTATAAAAAAAAATCTGTGGAGGGAGATGAAGGTTCGAGTAGGCGACTCCAGGATCTAAACATCAGCCTCGAAAAACCCTAATGACTTGGAGAGGATCTGCAAAGAGGAGTGGGACAAAATCCCTCCTGGGATGTATGCAAACCTGGTGACCAACTACAAGAAACGTCTGACCTCCAAGTACTAAGTCGAAGAGGTCAAATACTTATTTCACTCATTGACATGCAAATCAATTTATAACTTTTTTGAAATGTGTTTTTCTGGATTTTTTTTTTCTTTTTCGTTATTCTCTCTCTCACTGTTAAAACACACCTACCATTAAAATTATGGACTGATCATTTCTTTGTCAGCGGGCAAACATTCAAAATCAGCAGGGGATCAAATACTTTTTTCCCTCACTGTAAGCGCCTCCTCCACGCAAATAAGACACAGCAGAAAACATATGGCCTCCTCACCCTTCCATGCTCAGTAAAGTACCTGTACTTGCTCATTGGACAACAGTACCCACTAACTAAAACTGTCTCATTCACATGTTTTTGTAAATTTCCCTCTTGTTCTATCGGCCTTTGGAGCTGTGTTGCTCTCAGCTCATGCAGTAGTTCCATTCATGTTTTCTGATGATTGGAAGTTTACAGGTTATATTCAGCACTCTGATTGAAAACAGTCAGATGTCTAGGATTGCTGACAGTGGTGTCAGTTACTTCCTGATTTAGACAGAGCACAATGGCAGAGGTTGCAAATACCAGAACATATTTTTTTCTTCTTCTTCTAAATGGTGCAATTTTAGTTTTTTTTTTTTTTTGTTTTTTTTTCCTGTATGTTTAAATGCATAGTTTCTATAATGCATGAAAAAATGGGATCTAATACAGCCTTGGGAATGCCTTAAGGGTTTGTATTTTCACACTTTGTGTCTCTCAAGCTTTGATTTAGCTGGGTATTGTAGTCCGTACTGCTACCACTACATACAAGGGGTGTCTGTCTGACATTGGTTTTCCAAGTGTCTGGTAATCATTATTTTCCTTCGTTTTCAGTTTTGTGGCTCTTGTTTTCCATTTGTTGATCATTTGTTTCATTTTTATGCCACAGAACCACCATGCATTTCTGCCAGCACCCTAGGAGATGTCATCGAGCCCCAAAGAAGTTGCCAACCCCCGCAAGCTGACAAAGCGAGAGAGTCCCATGTTACATTTAATGCGGACCCCGAAATACATTGTGCAGGAGCCAGCTCCCCTCAGGATTTCGAGAGAGCTCTTGTTGGGCAAGGCAATCCTTTTACACCCAAGGGTCAGGGCAACCGGGATCAGACTCCAAGAAGCCGACTGAAGTTAAATAGATCAAAGAATCGAGACTCCTTTGTAGAATCTTCACAAACAAGTATCTGTCTGCCCAGCAGTTCTTTGAGTGAGTCAGGACGGCTACGGCATGAGGTGCCGAGCTTGTATAACCCATCATCACCTGTGTGTATAAAGCAAACTAATTTGCACAATATTAGTTTAAAGGCAGATGGAGCTGGGGTGGCAGCCAGCCATCCCTTACCTAGTGACTGTGCCAAGAATCGGAAACCTGCAGGTACCACTAATGTAAATAAAACTGACCCTGTTCCCAGCACATTGATTGCCAGAGGTAATTCTATAGGTGAATGCCACCATCCTGGTGATCACACAAAACGCACATTTTTACTTTCTACAGATGTGGAGGGTATATCAACCATAGACACTGCGGAGAAACCCAGGGGAAGTAAACAGAACACCAAAGAAGGGCAAAAGAGACAATCTGGTTCTATCATGAAATGTCCCATGGAGGAAGCTGCCAGCAGAGCCTTTAATAATGCTGGCGAGCGTAACACTACACACAACGCACTACAAGATTCAGTCGAACAGAAGCCTCTTCAGGTAGACAATGTGGCCCAAAGAGAGTCCAGTTTAACGGGCGAGCAGAGTAGCCCACTCAGTTCTTGCACTCTTGTAGAGGGGCTTTTATTCCCCGTGGAGTATTATGTAAGAACAACGCGGCGTATGTCCAGCTGTCAGAGGAAAGTGGACCTAGACGCAGTGATCCAGAGCCAACTTGGCACCGGCAGGAGAGCTTCGAGAGGGAGAGCAAAGCAGGAGAAAGGCAACGTGGCACAGGATTGCTCCCTAATGTCTCCGTCACCTCAAGGTCTTATAGAACATGGATCTGTTGCCAGCAGAACATCACAGACACCTCTAAGTCACCCACCCACAGGTAGATCCCGTGGCAGGAGGAGAAAATGTAAAGGGAGTAGTCCACCCATTAAAATGCAGCCTTTGGCAGCTTCTCCTGATCTTAAGGACCTCTCTGTCCAGCTTGAATTTGCTGGCCTTACAAGTGGATCGCAAAGTGAAAAAGAGAACTGTGAGGGGCGAGCCCTGACGGGAACAGATCCACAGGTCAACCCTGTGTGTTCTACCACTGAAGCAGGAAAGTCGAGGGTTACAGAAGGATCCAATCCGGAAGAGGACCAAACACTGCCAGCTGGACAAAGCATGTACACGTTACGACCACGGAACTCTGCTAGCTTTCATGGTGAGCCTTTGCAGAAAAACCTGGAAAGCTTTGAAAGCGACCTATCCATCCACAAAGCATTAAAACAAGACCCTAAATGTGCAGGTGAGTCTTAACCAGCAAGCCACTAATAGTTATTCACTGAACTGGGAATTGTCCAGAATTCTCCAGGGAAAATTTCTATTTAATGCCAAACTAGTCAAAATGGAAAAATTCTCCTAGTGAAACTGTCTTCATTTCAGCTACTTTGGCCTAAAAATTTAAATTAAAAAAGTTTCTAACTTGAATAAACAGCCTGTTTCTGTGATACTGGGATTTTAAAGATCAAATATTGGTCTGGTATGCTGGAAGCTTTGGCTATTGAATCAATGTTAATAATATGGAGGGAGGATTGTATTCACTGAGCAGTGACTTGTGATGAATTGAAAAGAAAAACTAAAATATAGGTGAAAGATGAAAACTAGCTAATTTTCTAATTCACTATCTGGGCCTCAATTTTGCTGCTCCATAGTTGGCTCTCAACAATTCACTGTTTAGTAAATAACTCCCTAGGGTAAGAGCACTTATAAAAATATAAAACTGCAGGTTTTGCTAAATTCTAGTACTGTTTGTGTGCTCTTTTGGGTACAAAACTATTTAATAACCAATAAATCATATGGGGAGATGATTCCAAAAGTTCTCTCCAGCTTTTTCCACTGACAGCATTATCGGAGGTGTAGTTATAGGAAATCTTGGGGTCACCGTTTTGAACACCCCACTTTAAATCAACCCCTTGTCCATTTCAAATAAATTATTGGGGCACACGTAAGCACCCATAAATGAAATTGTGCTGTTGGCAGCTGTCTCTAGGTGAATCTGATCTGGATTTTATCATAAAATTAAAAAGGTTACATTGTGTCTGTAATCCTCAACTAAAAATACTACTTTTGATTATTGATGTTGAAATAAAGCCTGCCTTTTTATAGATCACTAATCCAGCCTCTGTCTCACTGGTACCTCATCAAGACTACCGGTTGTCATTCTCTTATGTAAAATAGACATCTGTAGCATGGATTAATTTTAAGACTAATGAAATATTTAAAAAAAATTCTAATAATAAAAAAAAAGGTCTTAAAACCTGTAAATTTTACATATACCTATTTCTGTTTTACAGGCTCTGCCTTCTATTCTCTAAGCACCTGGATCAGCATAAAAGATCTGCCGATTTGTTTAGACATAAGAGATTTCCATTTACCTGATGAAGAATTTGGTGACCTGAAACTCAAAAAGCTAAACACGGTTAACCACTGGGAACTGTGTGTTCCAAAACTAAACAAGGAAGCCAAAAGGACAGGTCTTGGGCTCAACGGAAAGAAAAGCACACTAGCACCACCTAGTGACAGCTCACCTGTCCAGCTAGAGACTATGAAACTGTATTCTGATGACCCAGAGGTTGATTTTAAACTTTTAAGTGAGGACCAGTTAAGGGATGTGGAATGTTCAGCTAGACTTGGACAAGTTTCCACTGAGTCCTTACGGAATAACACAATGCCATCTGAACTGAGCCTCACTCCTGATCTGTCAAATTTGTTGAATAGTAACATGAGATCATCTAGAAATGAGCTGGCCTCTAGTGAGTCCTCAAAGGGGGACCCAGTGTCATCTCAACAGAGCCTCACTCCTGATCTGTTGAATTTGTTTGATCTGTCAATCACTCTCCCTGACCAAAAACCTAAAGAAAATAAAGATACGAACTTGAAAAATGACCCTTTTCCTCTTACCCAGTCACTTAGTAAGACTAGTTTGGATGCTGCCAGTCATGGAGAAACCTGCAAGGAACAAGACGCCAATCTCTTAGAGCAAACCATAGTTAGCCGTATCTCAGATGTCCAATACACATCTGAAACATTGTGTTCGTCCGATACCCCTTCATTTGCTGCCGAGGATATAGAAATGCATGAGCAGACTCAAACCAAAGTTGCTTCCAGTTTTATTTTAGAAAGCCTTCCACTAGATCCGAGCTTGGACCTGGAGTCTGATGGTGTCTCAAGCTTAAACTCTGAGTTAAGATTAGCTAAGGTGAAGGAAACCGCTCGCAGTGTCCTTTTCTCATCTTCGGTATGTTCTATGCCTCAAGAGAACTTTGATGGGATAGAGGTGGTGGCCTCCGTACCAGGCTTCCCAGTGTTGGGTTCTACCCCAGCTATCCCACCCCCTCCTCAAAGAAGGGATTCCCCTCTTGCTTCCTGTAGCTTCAGACCAGTTGTGGAGAGTGTCGTCAGCACTGAGACTTTACCTGCACGGGTCGCCGGTGATGAATGCCTGTCAGCAGGAGGCGAAGGGAATTTCTTTCCAGAAATTGACGTCAAGCAGTGCAACACAACAGTCTCCTTGACAGGCAGTGAATGCGAGAGGTGTGCGCACACAGAGCTGGAGGAGGCATGTCAACAATCTGAGCTGTGTGGAAAGCAGAGCCTGGGATATCCTGTTGGGACCACAGATGGAAACTCTTCTCAGGTGCACAGTTGGTTTAACCCCTTAGATTCCTGACCTTTAGTGACGTGGTTTTTCACAGGGGGTTATATTTAATATACAGAAACAGATCAATTAAAATACTTTAGTGCTAAAGAACTCTAACGTAAATTACTAACAGAACATAAAATCATACATATAGCAAGGGGGTGTAGTGTTTTATTTTTGCGGGATGGAGGGGGGTGGTTACAGATCGAAATTAATTAAATTGTACAATGAAATGACACCTTAAAAAAAGAAAAAGAACGTAATATTTCATTATTTAGTAATATCCTTACACCCTCGACCTAAAATTACTGAAATGTGGCAGTTAACCATTTGAATAATCACATAAATTCTGTAGTGTAACGCTTGTGTTATGCTCTTTCGGGGTCTTCGACTGAAGAGACCCAGCCGATAACTTGCTAAGTGCACGGGCGACTCCGAAAAAAACGCATATTACTCCGGAGTAACAGGATTGCAGTGAGTTTTGAATGGGAGGAGAGAGCCCATGTTTAGCCCTCTTTAAAAATAATAAACATGAGACTTGGCGTAATATACAGCACCCAGGAATGCTGTTTATACATACCGTAGACACAACACACACAACGCTTATATCACAAAAAAAAAAAACCACACAACTCCTGGGGAACAAAGGTCATCCTCACCGGCACACAAATACATACCTTTTATACAGGTGTGCTTCCACTCTGTGTGTTGTTTTCAGTTAGTGTGCTATATCTGCAGTGTATGACGATTACACGACTGTAATGGCGCTGCTTTATATTGGGAGGATCTATATCTGTGCTGGTTAACTCTTGAATGTTGAAGCCTTCTGTGTTACCTGTTGGTATAAAATAACGCCAAATTTAAAATCTCTCCCTTTTTTGCCTAGCAGTTGGCAAAAGCAGCCGAGTCAAAAAATACTGCGGATGTGGAAGAGGGGATGAGGGAGAGGGATCACCTGCGTCTGGTGTCACAGATACAGGTTAGTAAGTAGCTGTATACCTATGTACAGGATATAAAATATTTATTCTGCTACTCCTGTCAGCCTTGAGAAAGTTCACATGCAGGGTTGCTTGGTTATTTGATGTTAAACCCATTTCACACCCGTGTGCTGAAGCCAATTTTAGTCTTTCACACTCACTGCATTTAAATACCAGTATTGGTGGGTTTTTCAAAAAGTAACCGTCACAAATTATGTTTTCCTTTTTTTTTTTTCTTTCTTTCATTCTTTTTTTTTATTTTTTACGAGAGTATGTGGTGTTAGTAAATAACTTTTGTTTACAGACAATTGTAAATACTAAGAAAAAAGTCACCATGCAAAAAGCAAAAAAAAAAAATTTGCCATTTTCAATATGCACTGTAGTGGTTATGGTGCTTTGAGTGTCCCTATTAACTTAAATGCTCCCACCTTTTTTTTTTTTTTTTTTAAATCATTCAAAGTTTATTGTAGCATACTATAGTGATGTACAGGACAATAGAGCAATACACTGCCACTATATAACAATGCAATGTAGCAGATTAGAAAATGTGTGTAAGAGAATACAAAGATTGTAGATAAACAATTAAGGAGCAAAAAACAAACCATAAGGCCGTACAAGAGAACGACATCTGTAGACTCATCGTTTGTGGCGTGACAGTGTGTAGTAGTATGTGAGCAGAGGCGTGTATGTGCACAAAAGGAATAGCATGAAGGCCAAATAGTGGTGATCGATAAAATTTGTAATAAAAAAAAAAAGACATGTTCGTTTAGTGTGCCATTTGGAAGCAAGGCCTGAGCACGTATGTGAGACAGCTTGGTAATATAATATGGAATTGGCCAAGGCGGGCATATATACCAGAAATGCAATGTGATAAATAAAATCCGTAGGCCAGGTCAAACTGACAAACCCCACGTGCTTATGGGATTTAAATTAGCAATATACAGAAAAAGACAAGTGCTGCAAAAGAGTGGTATGCAATATAACAGCGTAACATCGGTAATGTCATATAAAGATAACAAATAATACATGGCATATATTGAGAAAATAAGTTAAAATAAGAGGAAAAAGTGCAGAGATGGTCCGAGCCCTGGCATAAAAATAATAATAATTGTAATCCGATCCATTCTTTAAAAAGAGAACCAAAATAGGGAGAAGACTATGTGAAGACCACCTCGGGCACCGGTGTCTCTAAGGGCCTTGGACGAGCATGCATGGCTGGGCATAAAAATGAGTAGGAGAAGGAAATGGAAAAAAACAAACTATTAACCCCCCCAGATATACTCCAATGTAGCAGCACAGGGTAGTAGATGGCAAACAAACATATGTATCAAGGCTGGCTGTGGTATGATAGTCCAAATAGGATGCCAAACCTTCACTCGGTCCCCCCAACCGAGCATTCCGGGGCACGGTGGGCACTTGGAGGCCGATTCAGTCCTTTTTTTTTTTTACTTCTCTCTTAGTTCTGATCTATACAAAATAATATAGGTAAATATTGAACGGGCAATTCCTTATAATGATTCCTTTTGATATTCATCTAAGAGACGTCCTATGTGTCTGATTTGTAGGATGGCTGTGGGGGAGCATGTGCTGTAGATCTGTCCTCATGCTGGTGGGAATTTCCGAATCGTACAGATTGTTGTATCGTAGCAGCTAGTGAATCGTCCGTGATTCTCTGGAGACCTCGAAGTGAAGATAGCTGGGAGACTGCTCACACATGGAATTTCATGGAGGTATGTGCAGTACAGAAACACAGTGCAGCTAACTCTACCTGTGTTACAACTTTTTAATGATGGATGACTGTATAGCCAAGGCCAGAAGCGTGAAACTAATTTTGTTCTGTGAATTGATATTTTAGACGTTGCTATCGTGGCGTCCATTTCTGTTTCTAATTTACAACAGGACGTCTTTTTCTGACATGCATTTTAATAAGAATCCACAACGGAAAGTAGAGTTATTGTTCTATTATGAATACTCATCACATCACACGCCATATGCTCTTAGTGTGGGATGCCACGCTATGCATTGTGGGAATAAGAGGATGCACTAGGGAGGTTTGATTTATGAAGCCATGTTTGAAGAGGAGGAAGTGAAATTATGGCATGTATAACATATAATTTGTTAGCATGTTCTCTATATCGTTTCTATGCTTGTTATAACAGCTACTAAAACAGTAAATGTATCATAAAGATAAATTATATATTTATTTTGTTTGGTAGCTGTTACCTTTACTAACTTCCCGTGGTTGTACAGCTATGGCTGAAAAACACCTAGTACTATATTTCGAGACTTTTCATGTTCAGTATTAAGAGATATCTTCCTGTAATTACACATTTTACTAGAACTTCAAAGACCTGTTCCTACAATCCACTGAAAGGCCACCATGCCATGATATCCCAGTTTTGGGCATGTGAGTTAATCATTGACGTGGTTTTCTAATTAAAAGAAAAAGTAGATGAGAGATGACATTAAATCCTATTAATATTGTGGATTCTGATGCCAGGTTTGAAAGACACTACTCAAAGCAGTACTTCTTAAACTAATCTTCACCAATCGCCAACAGTCAATGATCTGATTTAGATAGTTATAATGTCCTGCTCCATTGGTGGACCCTTTAAGACCCACCAAAAGTCCAGAACATCACAATTGCCTTGTTAAATCCTTTTAATTTAGACACATGCGCACAGTTCGAGGTAACCCCAAATCCTGTAATATAGGTGGATTCTGCAGAGATGTGTGAAGATGCTAGAACAACGATTCTTAAACCAGTCTTTAAGAACCACTAACAGTCAAGCTCCAAAAATGCTCAATGTTCTAATAGGTCATCAAGGAGCTGTTCTAGAGATGTCTTGTGTGTGTTCACAAGCTGAATACTAATGCAGCCTTTTCTGTTTGTAGATGCCTGTCGTCCAGATACTTCCTCTTCCAGGAGAGAAAAATATTGTATGTGTTGCTCTGGGAAACCTAGAAATTAGGGAAATTTGGTAAGGAGAAAAGCTAGAATGAATCAAATTCTATCCAAAGGGTCTCACAGTCCAGAAATGCTGCTGCGTGAAATGTAATATATATGACATTATAAAATGTGAATAAAATCTGATGTGTAAGGCTGTGAAATCGTGCTTCTTGCAGCTCTGCCTTCAAGCCAGCTTGTCAGTCACAGTGCTCTTATAATTAATACTCCTATAAACAGACTTAAACATGAACCATGCTATTTATTCATTATCACATATAATGTCATACAGTGTAGGATATGCAGCATTCTGTTCACTGGATTATGTTTCCCAGTCAGTTTGCAGATTGATACTGAAATACTGAGATTGATTTCCAGTTAATTTGGTTATATTTGAGAGAATTCACCTCTTGTTCTTTACATGTTCTTATCTATTCTTCTGTCCTTGTACTAACTGATTTATTCTAGCTTTCTTTTAACTGATGTACCCATTTCCACGAAGGTGGAATGTGGAAATGCAAAACAGCATCAGCAATCCTATTGGTAAGGTACATTATCCTAGGACGAAAACAGAAAACTAAAATCTTCTTTCTTGCCAGAAAAGCTGACATTTACTTTTGGATAAGAAGGCTGATGGCTCTTCTTGTAAGGTTTATTATTGTGAAATGTTTTCTGTTATGTCGTTAAACCATTCTCTGGATTTGCACAGGTTGCTGTTCTCTTGCCCTGGAAGCCTGAATTGGGAGCAGCAAATAGTAAAACGTGGGCATACGAAAATAGCAATGGGCTTATCTCAGCGCCGAATTGCCAGCTGTAGCAGCCTGGGGTCCAATCAAGTGGTCGAAATTCTGCAACTTTCAACAAATGGGAGGTGAGGAGGGGAGGAGATTTTGCTAGAGTCTTATGCTTTCACTATGTTAATATCAGTCCATTAAGTCTTTAATTTTTTTTGTTTGTTTTTTTTCCTTACCTTTTTTAAATGTTACATTTTTTTTTTCCTTTTTTTATTTTTTTTTATTTGCATTTTATAGAATTTCACAGACTTATTACAGGTATACAGGGTATGCGGGTTACAGTCATGTTTACAGCATAGAGAATACAATATATTGAGCAGCATGCATTGTCAATGTACCATCATAACTTTACATTGGTGAGAACATGTGTTGAGCATACATGTAGTAGTGATACTAGAGTTACACCGTTAAACAGAATATCCTGACATTGCTATTGTGCCTATATTTATGTTGCTCTCTTTCTTGTCCAATGGACGTGATAGTTAGAGTTTTCTTTACGCTGTGCCGGTCTCGGTAAGTGCTCAGCTGTAAAGTAACCCACATCTCCCTGGTGCTCAGCTACTTTTCCAGTGAAAAGCTACAAACTTGGGGGCATAACCTGGGTGTAATACGGGGAAGGAGGGAGAGGTAGAGGAGGGGAGGAGGGCGGGTGTTGGTCCCTTTGTCTAGTCCAGCATATAGGCCTGCTCTTCGGCCCCAATAATTTGCACCAGAGTACTCATCCAGCTTTAAGTAAGAAGGGGTGGAGTGTGGTTCTGAGAAGGGGTGCTTATTACCTTTTCCCTAAAGCACTGTTCTGTGGGCAGCAACGTGAAGGGTGTTTAGAGTGTTTAAAGTTTCACCGTTTCTGTTGGTATGTGTCCCATTTTTCCCACGCCTCCTTCCAAAATTTTTGTGGTGGATTATTGGATCTGGCCATTATCTCATACCCCTTTATGGTTTCAATGTGTGTTATGCAGCTCTGTATGTTGGGGATCATCTGCTTTTGCCAGTGTTTGCTGATATGCAGCAGAACTGCCAAGATAATGTGATATATTAAATATCGAGATGATTTTGTATGGCTTGGTGGCATATACTGTAGGAGATAATGCTCAGGAGTATGTGCGAGAGCTACACCTGTAGTGTTTTTAATTAGGGCCTGTGTGTCCGTCCACAGTGGTGTCAGGACCAGGCAGTCCCACCATATGTGTAGCATGGTGCCCTGGGCTTTATTGCATCTCCAGCACAGTCCTGTATTCTTAGATGTCATATGTTTTAGACGGGTTGGTACTAAGTACCAGCGGTATAATAACTTCCTGGCTAGTTCTAGATGGGCTGTGCTGAGTGTGAGTTTCTTATTCTCATACAATATATATGACCACTGCTCTTTTGTTAACTGTCTTCCTAGTTCCGCTTCCCATGCTTTTACAAACTGTAATGTATGTGGGTCTAGTGCTCGATGATGGTGATTGTACAGTGTGGAGATTAGCTTAAGTGGTTTTTTCGTCTGTGTGCAGAGGCTTTCTAATGCAGTGAAAGTGCCCCACCTGTTTCCTGGAGGTAGTACATTTTTATTTTTCTGCAACCATGAGTTTATCTGTCTGTGCGCAAATGCTGCTGCGTTGGGTAATTGGTATGTATTTTGCAGTTGTCTGAATTGTTTGATCAGGGATGACCTCTCCCTGATCAAACAACTGATGTAAGTATATCAGACCGCTACTACTCCAGGACGCCGTGTTCAATTAAGGTATCAGTCCATAAAAGGAATCTAGGAGTAAGGCTGGAGAGAGCCCCCCATCAAGTCCCTGTTCCTTATGAAATCTGTCCCATTCTCGTAATGTTGTGGCTGTGAGTGGTGACATATCTTTATATTTTTTTCTAAGCTGTGGTGGAGTCCAGGCTAGGTGCGTTATTTGTTGTCCCCCAGTGAGTTCTGCTTCTACGGTTACCCAAGGGGATGGTTTGTCATGTTGGTGTAGTTCGTTGACCAGCGGTGCAAGTATAGCTGATCTGTAATACGTGGCTATGTGTGGTAATCCCATTCCCCCTCCTTTATATGTGAGGTACAGGATTTTTTGCCGCTATTCTGGGTTTCTTATGGGACCAGACAAAGGCATTAATCAATTGTTGTGCGTCGTGAAGAAATTTTTTTGAGAGCCCAACCTGTAATGTACGAAACAGGTATTGCAGTCTCGGGAGAATTTTCATTTTGACTGCAGCTATTCTACACATCCATGATATGTATTTCCCTTTCCAATTCGTCAGCTGCTGTTTTATGGATGTAAGGAGTTTGCCGTAATTCTCCCGATGTAAGTTCCTCTCTAGTTTCGTAAATTTTATGCCCAAGAAAGTTAAGTGGTCTTGTCTCCATTCATAATGATATTTCTGTTGCAAGGCTGTATACAGCGATGCGGGCGCATGTAGACTCATTGCCTGCGTTTTAGAGCTATTCAGTTTGTAATACGAGCAATTGCTATACTGTTGTAACAGATTCTGGAGTTCTGAGATAGAGGTGAGTGGGTCAGACAAGGGGAGCATAACGTCATCCGCAAACATCGTTATTTTGTATGTTTTATGTTTAATTTTCACACCTCGGATTTGGCTGTTATCCCATATCGCCTGGGCTAATGGCTCTAGCGCAAGAATGTATAGGGCTGGGGAAAGCGGGCATCCTTGCCTCGTTCCATTTGTGATAAGGAACGGCTTGGATACAAACCCGCCATTTGCAACTTGTGCTGATGGCTTGGAGTACAGTGCTGAGAGTAGGGATAGGAATTGTTGTGGGAATGCAAATTTTTGTAGTACAGTTCTCAGGAAGTTCCAGTGTAGTCTGTCGAATGCCTTCTCGGCGTCCAGGGATATAAAGACCCTGGACTCTCCGGGAGGCGTCCCACTATAGAGAAGGCTGTGGAGTTTCCTAGTGCCGTCAGTCCCCTGTCGCCCCCTCACAAATCCCACTTGATCCGGGTGTGTAATAAAGGGGACGAGGGCCGCTACACGGTTGGCGTATATTTTGGCTAGGAGTTTCGTATCTGTGTTTAACAGTGAGATAGGTCTTAAATTTTTTGGTTGCGTAGGTGGTTTCCCTGGCTTTGGTAGCGTGGCTATGTGTGCTAATAGCATTTCTGATGGCATCTTCCCTGTGTGTACAATGTGGTTCAGTGTATGTACTAGATGGGGGCTCAGGATGTTCGAAAAGACTTTGTAGTAAGTGTTCGTGAAGCCATCTGGTCCGGGTGATTTCCCCGAAGGGAGTGTACTGATAGTTTGCTGTAGTTCTTTCAGTGTAATCGGTTCTATCAGGGAGTCCTGCTGTTGTTGTGTTAATTTTGTCAATTTTATCTGCGAGAGGAAGTTATTAATTTCAACTTGTGTTGGCTGATGCGTTTGGGGATCCTTTGTTAAATTGTACAGGTTTTGGTAATAGGCTGCTGTTTCTTCATTAATGTCTAGGGGGTTATATATCTTCCCTCCTGTGCTGGTGAGTAAATATGGGATTTTGGAGTGTGCTTGGTGATACCTCAGTAAAGATGCTAATTTTTTTCCCGCTCTGTTCCCGTGGGTGTAATGCTTCAATTTGAGTGTTTGTAGGGTGCGTGCTGTTTTTTGAAGTAGGAGATCATTTAATTGATTTGTAATTTGTTCTATTTCAATGTTAAGGCCGGGATTGGGGTGTAAAAATTGGGCTGCGTTTAGGTCACGCAGTTTGGTCAATAGTGTAAGGCGCGCTTGTTGAGAAGTCCTGTTGAGGAAGGACGCTCTGCTAATGAGCTGACCTCTAATAACTGCCTTATGAGCCTGCCAAGAGGTGGTAGGTGATATGTCAGGTTGATTGTTAAGTTGGAAATATTTATCTATCTCAGTTTCCAATTCCTTTTTAAAAGTGTCGTTGCAGGGTATCGTTTAGTCGCCACGGGGCTTTCCCTCTGTGTTTGTAAGTATCCTGGGTTATGAGGGTCACTGGAGCGTGGTCTGACCACACTATGTCCCCTATGCTACTCTGTACTGTGGAAGGCACCAAATCTCTCGACACCAGTATGACGTCTATTCTGGAGTGGGTTCCATGCACCTTGGAATGGAAAGTGTAATTTTTGTCATTCGGGTGTTTCGTTCGCCATATGTCATATAAGTTATGGTCAAGTAATAGCTTAGTGATGGCTTTGCATTGTGGTATTAAGGATCTATGTCTAGGAGTAGAAGGAGACACTGTCGTGTCCATAGTCGGCTGGAGAATGTGGTTCATGTCACCACATATTATGACGCCAGCCCTGTGCTCTTGGGGTAATTTGCTCAGTACTCTATGCAAAAAATTGCGCTGGTTGGAGTTAGGGCTGTATATGCCTACCAAGGTATATATGGCTCTGTTAATTTGACAGTGGATTATTAAATATCGGCCTTGTGCGTCTGTTTTGACGTTTAGCAGTTCAAAAGTGAGCGATTTGTGAAACAGGAAGGACACTCCTCTAGTTTTGGAAGAATAAGTCGTATGATACTGCGTCGGGTAGTCTTGTTTCCCAAATTCTGGTATTCTCCCACGCACGAAGTGCGTTTCCTGAAGGCACATAATGTCTACTTTAGCTATCTTAGTTTCCTCTAACAAAACTCTACGTTTATGAGGGGTGTTTAGCCCCTGTACGTTATGTGTGTATATCTTCATAATATGATGTTATGTGGGTTCGTTGCTGAATTAGCAGTTTACTCCTTATTCTATCTTCCGTTCGTGAGTGTATGTCAGTTGTGCTCATATCAGGCAAGAGTGTCTCTGTGGGGGTGATAGTGATCATAGCTGGTGTGGGCAGTAGCTTGGACTTTCTTATCCATGCGGGACTAAAACATGGGGAGGTTTAAACCGGGTAATAACAAAAACAAAGTATATACATGTATGGGTCTTGGTACTGGTGGTGAGTACCGTGGGGGTGGAAACTTGCATGTTTCCGTGTCGTGGCTATGGGTCTTCCGCTGTCTCCTAACCTTTGGGGACGGTCGGTCGCACTAGGTCACCCATGCATCAAATAATAAAAGTCTTATAGGCTCTTTGGCATGTGTACGGCTGTGCTAAGAAAAAAGGATAAATGGTAGTAGGACTAAGAAAATTTTGTTAGGCACATTCGTAGGTACATATATATATACACAACATAAATTCACCTTAATCTGCAGCTGGTGAGCGCATCCAGTAGGGCAGCATCTTGCTCCCCAATAGCTCGGGGGGCTCGTTAAAGTAGCAGGTATCTATTGATTACGTACTGAACATGTGTTATACCATTATTATTTTTATTTTTTTATTTTTTTTTATTTTTTGTAGCCTCGTTTTGTCTGGTTCCTAGAAGGGTCGGGGGTCTGCTAACTGATTGATCTCTAAGTAGTTTATCAGTGTTGTTCTCACAATATACCTTTGATGAGGCACACGGAAAAGATAGGTGTGTCCTCTGCAAATCATCGCCTCTCCCGTGAGCTACAGGCTGCTAGGGGAGACTAGTTCAGCTCCAGACCTCCATTAAATGTTTGGGGATTTATTGCTCGCCAGCTTAAGTAGCCTTAGTGAACTATGTAGTCTAACGTGATATAACCAATCCCGTGTTAACCTGAAATTTTTTTTTTTTTTTTTTTCATAGAACATTGCTATATCTTTTCCTCAGTCCTTGGCCTTATTGCAAGCACACATGTATAAACAGATTTATACTTGCGGGTGTCCAGCAGTTCATGCTTTGTGCCAGTCCAGTGGGATGCGCCTGGCAGGTGGGGTGGTATGATCTGGTCTTTGGTCCATGAATCCCCAGGATTGTAGTTTGCGAAGTTCATCTTCAGGTGATGTGATGACTTGGGTGGCGTTGTCTTTCGTCACCAACATTTTGGTAGGGAAGCCCCATCGAAATCTGAGGCCATGAGCTCTCACGGAGTTGGCAACTTGAGCGAACTCTTTCCTTCTACGAAGAGTGGACACAGAAAGATCGGCAAAGATCAGCAGGTTTGGATAACCTTCCAGTGGTGTCGCTTTATTCCTGCTTGACTTGAGTATAAGCTCTTTAATATGATAATAATGCATTCGCAGTAGCACATCCCGCGGTGCAGTTTCTGGTAGGAACCGTGGTCTAGGCAGGCGGTGTACTCGGTCCACGAGTAACATGTCGGTAGGTATGTCTGGGGCATATGCTTTAAACACGCCTCTGACATATGCCTGCAGGTTCTCCGGCACAACAGCTTCCGGGATCCCTCTGATACGCAGGTTATTCCTGCGTGCGCGATCCTCTAGGTCAGTTATTTTATTTTCTGTCGCCAGTAATTTTTGTTCCAGTTGTTCCACATGAGAAGCTATGTCATTGTGTGCTGTAGCAAATTCTGCCATCTTGTTCTCCATGTGGGAGGTGCGCTTGCCTAATTCTTGCATGTCCTTCCTCAGCGAATCCGCCGTGTGTTGCCACGATGTAATTAGCTTGTTTGACAGGGTGTCCAGAGCTTGTTGCAAGTAGCTCTTGGTGAGTTTATCAGAATCCCCTTCCTGCAGTACCGCTGTGTTCTCTAGGCTGTCAGGAGCGGAGCCGCCATCTTGCGACCAGGCCCGAGCCTCCTCCGGCTCCTGGTGCGGCTTATTTCCATAGAAATTAATTTTTTCTGCTTTTGGTGCAGTCTTCTTGCCCCTCTGCTGTGCCATCTCTTGTTTTTTAGCAGTTATACCGCCGTGTTGCGCTGGATGGAGTCAGATTGCGACCCGTGGTGCCGGAGCGAAAGGATCACACGTCCATTCCTCTCGGCGGTTAGCCACGCCCCCCTTCCTTTTTTTTTTTAACTTCAAAGTGCAGTAATATTAAATGTTATGACAGTCTGCAGCGTATTTTGGCGTTCATACTCCCCATTGTACAGTGCTGCCGAATTTGTTGGCGCTTTGTAAATGCTAATAAGAATAATATTACTCCTATGGCACACAAATAAAAACATGAGTTGGTCTAAGTGTATGTAAAATGACACCCTTGCAGTTATTGAATACATATATTTTGTCTAACAGAAGTTTAGTATATGCCAGATTTGAATTAAAGTATGTTCTATCCTAGCCTATACAGTAAGTTATTTCATGTGGAGGGGGAAAAGGGAAGGCGGGGGGGGGGGAAGGAGGGTCAAGGAAAGGTAAGTCATGGAAAGCTACATGTATTTCTGTGTGCGTCTGGAGTGCTTTGAGTGTCGTCCTGGGTCTTTAAGGGTACATCACGCTATTGAAGTCTAGAATATGATTTTTGAGATTGTGAGGGTATCCGAGTTTGATAGGGGTAGTTTTGAAGATTCTCTGTGAGGTGAGTTCTGGTCTATGTGGATATCTGGTCCATCGGAGGTGGTGGTTGTGTTTACTTTCGTGCTGTAGGGGGTGCCTTCGGGCATGCTAGGGTGTACATAGTACTGCTAGTTTAGGGCACGATTTGGCAAGTAGAGGGAGACTGTTTTTTTTTTTTTAAGATGATGGTGCACATACTATTTCTGCCCACCTCCACGGCTTGTCCTAGTCTATTTCCACTGAAAATGTCATTTTCTCTACCGAATTCCTTGATCGTGTATCTGTCATGTCACCGATAATTCTTCGTGCCCAAGTTGGCCATCACTCTTTCTCTGTCCGTGTTCTGCAGCTCCGTGAGATCCCAGTCACTGATGCCCCCTAAAGAGAGTATCCTGGCATTTTGTGAATTAGAAGGACAGAAGGATGCTTTGATTGGGTCTACTGCGAACAATAACATGGTTATCTGGTAAGTCCTGTGCAGAGCAGAGTCCTGAATAAATTCTATCATCGAGATAACAATGGATCTCTCTGCCAGCCAATGCCACTCCGAGAATTCTGGGAATTGTACTCACCAATCTAATACTTATTTAGAAGCCAGTCTGAATATGTAAGTGTTTATAGAAATTCCTGTTTATATGAGCTGAAACCTCTGCAGAATTCATAGTTTGGTGAGTATTTCCAGTAAATTACAGAATTCAGTCCCGAATAAGCTGGTTAATAAAGTCGGTAAATTAAAGAGACCGTGTAGGCCAAACATCCTTTCGGTTTACCGGCAAATTAGTTTAACCTTGCTCAGTTTTGTCAAATATTAATAGACTGCAGATTTTAGGACTGTTTTTGGAATGTGATGTAAACTAAAAATACTTGGAGTGTACGCAATGCTGTCCTGGTGAACAAATGTAAAAAAAATAAGAAAAAATTGCTCAAGAATGATTAAACGAAGTGGGTGCTGTAATTGTTATGCCATAAAATGTATTATTTTGTGAACATTTATGCACCATCATGTAAACCCCATCCTATCCCCTGGATCAAATATATAATATTACGTAGGTTTAAAAGAATATGATCAGCCAATCAGAAGGGGGGGTTATGGTGAATTCTGGGTAAGAGCATGCTATAAGCAGCATGACCACATATAGTGTTGGTTGAAGTATGTTGTTTAAAAAAAAAAAGTCCCCCTAAACTTTCAGGGCCTGGGTTAGACAAATCTCTTTCCATCATTCCTAATGCGAGTTAAACATTTCATCTCAACATGTAGACCCTAAAGCAATCTGTTCCAGTGATTACATTGCAACAGAGATTGAAGTTATTGTTGGCTTACTAGTAAACTGTGGCACCCCCAAACCCAGTCTTTTAGAAACTACAACGCCCATGATGCTTTCCAAAGCCTTAAAGAACAACTATCACCTGATGTATATGGCTGAAGCATTGTGTCATGTACTAAAGGTGGAGTTTTTCTCATTTTTTTAAAATGTTATCCTTTATGACCATTAAAAGCTAACTGTTGGAATGCCACTGTTTTGAACCATCTGTGTGTTCTTGCAGTAAGCTTTAATTTTTCTGGTTTCCAGGAATTCTATCACTGGACAGCTGCTGAGTAACATTAATGTGGGTGAACTCTGCAGCGATTGCATCTGTCTGAGTGCATCCTCCGAGTCTGTAAGTGGGCTTCTCCTGACTCCTTGTAGTGTTTGAGTGTGTTTAATGACATTTAAGATTCCCACAGCAGCTATGACAAATGATTTCTGCTTTTATGAATCAGGGTCTCGTGTTCCTAGTCCTCGTCAGTCCTTACAGCAGCGAATGCATATTCAGACTGATTGCAGCTAATCCCAGAGAAGCCAAGTGTGTCAATGTCATGCAGTACACCCTACCAGAAGATCACACTGGCAGGTAATGACATGAATCATCAACAATCTATGTCAGTGGTAAACATACAGCACAGTTTGGCTGACAAATCATGCATGATAACAACACACTTCAAGATGGCAGGTTATTAAAGTTTAAAAAATAAATAAAAAAAGTCTCCAAAATGTAATATTATTATTTGTAAGAAAACCATTTTGCTTTGTATTCATCAGAGTACTGGTATAGGTATTATCTCGATTCTTTAAAGGAAATTTAAAAAAAATAAAATAAACCATGAACTATCCATCCACACATCTTGCGCACAATAGATTTATTTAAAACGCTTGCCCTCTAGTATAGTGCCCATTTGGAAATCTCTCTTGCAGGTTTTAGCTAACTGATATGGGCATCATCCTACTATAAAGACAGCAAGTGTCTCTTGTCCGCAGTAAGCTTACGTAGCAGATAATTCTTTTGAAATCCTTAAATTCCGCAGCAAGTTGTGTTAGAGAGCCGATACAAATTTTTACAGATGGAATTATAGTTTATACATGTTTTGCTTTAAATGTAGGTATCTGGAAGGAAATGTGAAAAATCAGAAGGCAGTAGCGGTGTTGACTTGTGGAAGCATTGCACTCTGGGAATTATCCAGCCGTCAGTGCTCGTCTCTGCTTCCTCCTGCTCCAGGCACGCGCTGGTGCTTGGTGCGATGGGCCCACTCCTCTTCATCTGTACTGACTGCACAAAACAATGGAACCATATGTGTGTATTCATTAACAGAACCCAGCCAGACAAGGATGAGCGAAGAATTGGCGATCTGGGACATTGTGTCTCCAAGTGTTCTGTTTTCCTAAATAACAGTGTCTGCAAACAATGTTTTCCTTCAAATATTAAATATTTATAATTTAAAGGTGTTTTTTTTTTTTTATTATCATTGTTTTCAAGATGCAGTAAAAATGCTACACCTAAACAAACTTTAGCTTAATGATATTGTTTTTGTGTATAGATCATGCACCTGTAGTTTCACTTCTCAATTCTCTGCCATTTAGGAGTTAAATCACTTTTCAGTCCCACTGATCAATTCCCTGCCGTTTGGCAGTTAAATCACTTTTATTTCTGTTTATGCAGCCATAGCCACACCTCCCCTGCTTGTGACTGACACAGCCAGTATGAAAAGAAAATGGTTTAACTTTTAATCAAATGTAACTTACTTTAAAAGTTCTCCTGCTCTGTAAATTTAACTTTAATCACACACAGGAGGCTCCTGCAGGGTCTAGAAAGCTATTAACAGAGCAGGAGATAAGAAATTCTAAATTAAACAGAGTTTACAATACAGGAAGTGTAAGCATTAGATGACTCTTTACAGGAAGTGTTTAGGGATGCTGCATAGTCCCATTATCTATAAACCAAACTGCTTTATTAAGCTAAAGTAGTTTTATTGACTACAGTGTCCCTTTAAGTTTTATATATACTCACACTTTTTGAGAAAATAATTTGCTTGAGGTAATGCACCTTTAGGTGGTGTTTGACCCCACCAATCACAGTTTATTGGAAAAAGTTAATATCCTCTTCACATAAAATAAATGGGGAGGTAAGGGGATTTCAAAAAGTAAAATCAATTTGCCTTTATTTTATTTCCAATTTAAAGATGAATACACCATATATAAATGGCATTGTCTACTCTTTTCCCCAAAAGGTTTTATCACAAGCACTTCGATCAAATAGGGTAGGAACACTGTTGGATAGAAACTCTGTTTGCGAAAGTTTGAGAACAATCGGTGTAGGTGGAAGGGAGTGGACCCAGTAAAAATGTGAAATAAAGTGCATGCGTTTATTGACCTTTTTAAAGCTAAATAATTGATTACTAAATTCTATTAAAAAAACCACTTTTTGCTATCAATTAGGCCAAAAGAGTAATGGTTAAAACCAAAACAAAGTTTCAGTGATTGTAGTCCTCAATGAATTTTAAATAAATTAACATTAACAATCGGGAGTTACTTTCTCAGTTTAACCCTAATATGCAAAGCATTCAAACAAATCTTAAGAAAAATAAAGCTGTAAAAAACCATAATGATAAACACCAGAGTAATAACATTGGGCAGTGGCGTACTAAGGGGGGGCGGAGGGGGCGGTCCGCCCCGGGTGCGAGCAGGGTGGGGGGTGCCTTGGCAGGGGGCGCTGGCCCCCCCATGCTGCAGCCGCCCGAGCGCTCTGTAGAGAGCCTCAGGCAGCTGCAGCTTTGCCCGGGCGGTGCGTCCATGAGGGCGCACCATGAGGAGAGGGGCTGACAGGAGGGAAGCGCTCAGCGCTCCCTCCTGTCACTCCCTCTGTTGTAGCGTGGGCGAGCCCTATATTGGTCCGCGGGTACAGGGAGCATCTGTCTCCTGTACCCGGCCGGACTAACAGGAAGTGTGCACTCAGTGTGCACTTCCTTTTAGTCCGGCCAGGTACAGGAAACAAAAACTACCTGTACCCGCGGACCAATAGAGGGCTCGGCCACGCTACAACAGTGGTGGGGGGGGGGAGAATGACATTCATCATACACACAATGCACCCCTTGCACACAGAAAAACACAATGCATTACACACACACTCAATGCACCCCATACACACATTCAATGCATCCCGTACATACACAGAAACACACCTTGCAGCCCTTACACATACAAACACAATTTCACACAATGCATTCCTTACACACATATCAGGACATCCCCTACACACTCCACCCCCTGTGAACAAACTCATTGGTGGAACATGAAGGTGGACCCTGGGACCTAGACCTTGTGTGTGACTGTCTGCCTGTAAATGTGTGTGTGGGGATGCAGGGATTTTATAGAAGGGGGGGGGGTTTTGTATTGGGACAGGAGTCTTTATAAGGGGGATAAGCAGGGATTTGTGGAAGGGGGTTGGGGTTTTGTAGAAGGGGCAGGACAGAGGTTTTGTAGGAGGGGCGGGCAGGACAAGGGTTTTGTAGGAGGGGCTGACAGTGGTTTAGCAAAGTTTACAAATTGTAAAAAAAAAAAAGAAAGAAAACATTTTTTACAGATTTTTTTTTTTTTTGGGGGGGGAGGGGGAATGGGAGAGCACAGGATCCGCCCCGGGTACCAAATGCTCTAGGTACGCCCCTGACATTGGGTATTTTCTTCTATATCACATCCTCCTGTATAAAAGAAAAACATATTTATAATAGAGCAGACAGGCTGGGTAATAATGTGAATTTCAATAGCTGTATAGGAAACTTACAAAAATTAAGCCTCCATTTCACTCCAGGATAAACACAGAGATTAAGTTATTTCAGTTATGAATAAAGCTGTCGCTGCACATGAATCGGGATGCCCCGCCATTGTATATCCCTCATCCACGTACTCCGTGTGTGTGGCAGCCAATATATATTGTAGACAAAAAGGACAAATTTCATATAGCAAATATTATACGCACATTTATTCAAAACCATTGAATCTTCTTACATTAAACCTTCATAAATACAATTTATTTGACCGGGCTAGGCACAGTAGTAACTCTTAGCAGTAAATTTGAATGTCATAGAAGCAAGCTCGCAACAGTTACTGGTGACAAAGGAGCGAACTTCTAGATCTACCCAAGCAGTGACACGTTTGGTAGCAATAGTGCTCCACCTAACTTCAAGGTATCCAACGCCTTGTGATGTACAATGGAGAGGAGTGAGTACAGGAGGTAAGCAGCACAAGGTGTATTATGTCTGAGCGGGACATGTAACGACACCCCCTCCATATCGCCTGCACCTATGTTTTTCAACACCTACATTTATGCTCCAGACGCGGACTTCGGCTATCCCAACATAAGGATATGTACAGCAAGAAGTGAATGGGGTGATCGTGAAATAAAAATACACAGGAATGGTTACTCATTAAAGTGGGAATGGAAGTAAATGTAATATTTTAGGTCAAACTAGTTGAACTGAAAACAAGGCTAGAAGAATTTTTTTTAATTAGTCCAGTAGTAATAGTAAAAATGGCATTGAACTTAATAATAAAAGGTTTACTTGATTATTTTAATATGTTCAGAAGAGTGTTATATTGTGCAATAAAAACGGAATTGCGTACCAAAAAATAAATTGTATATATAATTAATATGCTTTATTACGCGGCTGTATGCAGTATCTTCCATCATGTTAGAGTAGAGATTGGAGCCGTATTAGTCCAATAATGCAAATGTAAAATAACAGATGGAATTTATAACTTGTAATATATCTTATTATTTATTGTTTTATCTGTGACAAATATATATATTTCTGCTTTTTATTTATTTTTTAATACTTGAGAAATAGGCTTGTAATGTTTAATTCCCAGGAGCCATAATCCTGCTCAGCCTGACATGTGTCAATGGCAATCTGTGACCTTCTATGATGTCCTTCCAGGGTGTGGCATCATGGCGGATAACAGGTGTACCAAGATGGCCGCTCATACTCCCCTGCCCATGGTGACAGATAGACATTTATTAATTTACAATCCCCGGCTAGTTTATTTATAAGATTTGATAAAGTGATGGCTGTGGTGGTAGTCCTGTCACAGTTTGTATCCACCTTCGGCTTTTACCCGACACAGCTACCGCTGAGCATCACGGGATGTGTAGTCCCGCTAGCGGGCGCTCTGGCCGCCCTGTGGCGCTCTCTATGGTATTGCGCTGTGTGCCCTGCGCGCGCCGCTAGTCTCTATGGTCTTTGTCCTTTCCTTCCCGCTGACAGGAAGACTTGTTGGTTGAGTCCGCGCCGTGGTGCAGCCTGGGTAGCCGCTGTCCGCCATGGCGTCCCGTGCCCTCTGTGTGTGTGTCCGCAGCGCGCTCCGTCCCCTTCCCCGCCGCCCCGGGCGGATCCTGGGCCCGGCAACCTGCAGGCAGAGATCGTCCTTGTCGAGGCCATCCGGCCCGGGCCCAATCCTCGTCCCCCAGGTAACTGGAGACCGCCGGGAGCTGCCTGCTGGAGAGAGAGGGGGACACTGGGAGAGGGAAAGGGGGGACACTGGGAGAGGGAAAGGGGGGTCACACTGGGAGA